TTAATTGTTTATTTACTCTTAATATAGTGAAATATATGGGTTAAAATTATTTTAAAATTTATTTTTGCACTTTGAACTTTTATCTGGTAGCAGTAGTAATTTTAACTCAAAATACTTTTTGAATAAATTACATTAACTCGTTGAAAATTATATCTTTTTAAAATACTTTTTTTTAGTAATGCTAATTTTGTCACATTTCAATGGGACACAACTAGTGATGTAAGTTAAAGATTAAATAGATGTTTAAAAATACAATTTTAGTAAAAATCATTAAAACCTAAATATCAACACAAAAAGTTAAAATTGGGAAACTCAGCACCGGAGTAAAAGTTCAAATATAAGGATATATCTAAGAGTTGGTTTACACACTTCAAACTGCTATTCCTTTTTTCTATATTTTTTTTGTTGAGGGCTTGAATTCAATAAATTTCAAATACCAAGTCAGGATTCAACTCAAAAAGTGTTGATGGTAAATAGATTTATTTTTTACAATGTGTTTTTCCAGCTCTTGTAATATCCCAGTGTATATGAAATAATATTTGCACATTTAAAGAATTTTGTTTCAAACATTCCATGTGCAGTGTTAATATTATGTTTCTCTACTGCTTTTTCTTGTATGCTTGTACATAGTTCTTGTAATTTCATCATTACATAGTATATTTGAGGCTTTTTAAAGCTTTGAATACATTTAGTAAATAATTCGCAATTGTTGTAACATACAGGTGGTGTTTAATTTCATATATGCAGTTAAAAAAAATTCATTCATTTACATTTGTATTGTAATTAACTATAATATTAATTCATATTTCTAGGAAGATTGAATAGTTTTAACTATTGGTTTTAATCTAGGTTTTGACTGTATATAGATTTAGTAGTTTTATTTGACATTTGAAATTTTATTATTCAGTACATTGCAAAAACATTTTAGTAATGTGACAAGACAGTTTGAAATAGCTGTTATAAGTAGTTTAGTTCGCTTTGTGTACGTACCAGTGAATTTTGTATCTGGTTTGTACAGCGCATGTAATTAATTAAGATATTATTGTGGCAGCTGTACCAGGCCACGGACTCTGGCGGACCGGTATGTATGCGATTCACTCACGCAGAAAGCTTTATATGTCACCTTACATGCTTTCCTCGTTACAATGTAACACCTGTCTTGAAATTACGAGTTTCCTTTGTTTTATGTTGACGATTAAAAAAACATTTTGACAGCTGTCAATGTCAAATTATACTACAGATAAAAAATATGTTTAAATTATTGCGACACTTTTTCCAGTTGCTGACAGGTTTTAACATTGTAACTTATATGTGAATCATTATCTATGGCATTTACATTTAATCTTACAAATAAGTTTTTTTTCGGCTAATAAGCCTGTTTTAAGGTTACCTGTAAATGTTCTTTCGCTACATTTATCACAAGACCTAAACATTACGGGCGTCGCCAGTCGATGATCTAGGCTAAGTCTATGACAGCTACTATTATGGTTTTATTTATAGTAGTTTTTTTTAACGTTTTTGCGGTTTCTAGGGGGCAGCAGCTCACCCTATTTCCCTGGCGATACCCTACGCTAGACCTATGGCCTATAATATCTCCCCGCGTGTCAATCTATGTGCTTATATGTAATGTATTTGTTGTCTAGCCGGCTGACTTAGGGTTTGGTCTCCGCAATATGGACGCCTCGCAACCGACCAGTTGCGACAGGGCAATAGTAAGGCTAAAAACGTTGCATGCACGCAAATGGAATGATTTAACAACTAACCCTTTTGTCTTTTTTTACTTTTTAAATGCATCTTTTTTATTTTCAAATTAATAGCAAGCCTAAAATGATACAAGGAGACAAAAAGCTTTGGAGTATTTTGGTTGATTTTTTTTATGTTTTAAATGTTATTTTGTCTCATTGTGTAATTTTTTCTACTAATTATTTGCATGTTTTTTTTTATTTTTAATTTGGTTTAAACATCTAGAATGGCAGCATGGTAGTTAAATGGGGCAAAGGCGACAGTGGAGTGATAATGCCTTGGCAACTAAATAGACTAGCAGTATGTAAATTGTTCTTTCTTTTATCATCGTTCATTTTATAATTTTGAACTCGCTACGACACGAGTGAACGATTTACAGTCAACAATTATTTTTAATCTTGTTATTTAGAGTTACTAAACTGGAGTCTATCCCTTTCGAATAATTTTAATAAATTTATAAATTTGTTCTTTTTGTCTATGCTTGTATCTTAATATTATAATAACGATTGTTTGATAATGCAAACGCGCTAAATAAACTATCAAATGTAATCTTTAAATGTTAACACATTGTCTTGTCTTAAGTTGTTGATTGTAAATCGTCAACATTAATTACTCCATTTGCACTCTTGACGTTTTTGTTCCGTATTAATGTTATAAAAAAGAGGTAACGATACTACGAGTTAAATGGAAAATATTTCCACATAACCGAAAGGTATGAGAATTGATATATACGATTTTCAAGATTCGAATCCCAAAGAAAAATATAAACTGTGCTTTATTATATTATTTGTACTATGGCAGAAATACGCCAGTATACATCTAAGACGGTAACCTTCATACTAATCAAGCCATTACATTGGTGTTGGTATATTATTGGAAATTAAAGATTAAAATCACATCAATACAACGTATTCTTAGATTATAAATGTTCTATCAAGAATTGTTGGCTTTATATAGTAATATTTCAGGAAACGCCGCGCAGTGAGGGCGGGGAGAAGGCGCGGCTGGCGCGGCTGTGGGGCGCGGTGGACTCCCGGCTGCTGAAGCCGCTGCTGACGCACGCGCGGCCGCCGCTCACGGAGACGCTGCCGGCGTTCTTCAGGCCCATTGCAAGAGTGCTGACAACCACGCGACAGTACACGCAAGGAGTGAGTGAATACTGAACGCATTGAATAGTGAAGAGTGAATGAAACGACGACAGTATAAAATTCGCCGCTCTGAACATCGTACGTGTGTTGCGCAGAACATAAACGCGAAACGCAGATGACCTTGCGACGCTTATTTGAAACTATCTTATACCCGCGACGCCGACCGCGTGAAATTTAAAAGTAATAATTAAGAAATGAAAAAATATAGCCTATGTTACTCACAGATAAATTATCTTTCTAACATTTACAATCAAACAAAGTTTTCCTCTTTATAATGTTAGTATAGATGTACAAGGCACTAGTTATTTAATATAGAAACATTATTAGATACTTTTTTATATTTGATAGTGACCAAAGAGTAAGTGACTATTTGAATTCGCCAACAAGGCGAAGCGATTGCTGCCCATAAACAACCGAAATAGCAGATACATTGTTTACGTAATTGATTAAAGAGACACACTGCATACCCTTCCTATGCGTCTCCACCATCAATTTACTTTCCCTTCCCATCTTTTCCTTACTAGAAAAGGGTGAGAAGGCAAAGGGACTGTGAGGCCTCTGGTACGCAATATTTATTATTGATGTTGTTTTCAGGAGAATAACCTGCACAGAACCGACTCGGACTCGGACCTGTGCATCGACGAGCCGCAGCCGGTGCCCGCCAGCATCGACCCGCAGGTATACTACACACCATTGCCGACATGATCATATAAAACTATCTCCATGTAAGCTTGCAGTTTATTCTTTTCATCTCTGTCTACCCTTTTTTAAAGCTCTTTTTCTGTATAAATATAAATCTTTATGCAATTACAGCTTATTACATAATGTACTCTATTTTTATGTATAAAAATCATATCTTTATCTTCATCAATACTTCAAAATTTAGTTTTATTTTCATTCAAACGTGCGATTCTTTTCTTTTGGTTGCAGCTATCTTATAATGTTCGGAATGGATTCGGGAATGTCTAAGCTTTTTAGCGATATATCCCTCGGCTGTGATTTAAAAAAGGTTAATAGCAAATGACATTGTTTTAATAGGAAAATTATGTTTTTAAATTATTGCACGCAGCAATTATGGCCCGGACTTGTGGACACTCGGATCTCTGTAGAAGGTATCACTGGCAGTAATATATAAACGTGATTTTATATCTATTTTACGTCAGCTGTGTCCTATGCTTGATAACCAACCAGAGAATATTTCCTAAACTAGACAATTTAGTTAAAATTTTTATTTATTCTATTATGTATGCCATCCATATAAAATACCTGCAATTATTGTAAGAGCAAACAACTATTATTTAATTTAATTAATGAAAAGTACGAAGCGAACTTTCTAATTATGTTTTTTTTAGTGTAAATTTTAAATTATATTGCATAAAATAAACTTCCTTTAAAATGTATGTGTACACACTAAGATTTGCGCGGGACGCTACACGCGCCAATATGACCCATACATTATTTGTACATGCATTAAGCTATACTAAAAAAAATCGCTTGAATATACTATTACGTTAACTTGTATACTGTGGAAACGCAGTTATCGGATTAAATTTTCATGTTATTGTGTGTGATGTAAGTGAAATGGTTTAACTTAAGCCTTTGTGACAATTTTGAAGTTAAATGCTTGAAAATTTAACTTTGATAGTTATTCTTTTGTTTGATTGTGTTATGCAGTGTATGAGATACATTTTATATTATGTAAGTCTATGTGATACGTTCGCATGTATGTCGTTTTTACTAATAATTGAGGTATTCAATGCTCGTAGTATAATTTGCGATCTAATACTTTTCTTCGCAAGCACTATGCAATGTAGCTTATCTCGACTATTTTTGTTATTTTCTAGTCTTTATCAGTATATTTTAAATAAATCGTCTTAAGAAAATTGTAATGTTTAATTTTAAATTTTAATACAACGGTCCATAAAATGGGAATAACAAAATTCGTTACTGGTGAAACGGTTGTAATTGTAATATTTATTGTTTTAAAAGACAAGTAGATTCCAATTGTAATGTAAATATTTGTAATAGTATTTTTGTGATTTGTGAAGCTTTGTGAACTTATCTTGATAATGTACAATTTCAGTACGATTTTATTGTTAGTGTAATTTTTGAATTCATTAAATTAGTATGTAAAACACACTTTTGTTGTATACCAGTGTGGTTTACTTGGTTATATGTAGAAAGCTTTGTGCTTATTTGATTTGATACATTTACAGAAACATTATTCTCTCAAGATCTGGCATGTATTACCGAATTTTAATTAGTAAAAAGAATTATGTATATGTGTAATAAAATTTGAATTATGAACACTTTTTTTATTTTAAAATCCTTTCATATTTTTTTCCTTTTAAATTAATAGATTAAATATACAAATATTCTTATACAATCTGTTTTCTAAGTGTTTGTCTTAATTCTTTAGTAACTTGAAACTGTGCACCATGCCCAGGCATGATCCAGTCTGCTATATCAGCTATTTTAGATCTATTCCTGGCCTGTTGTACTTTGTCTTCGCTCCCAGCTTCTAACCATATATTAGGATCCTCTATATCTTCATGTTTTTCAAATAAATCACCTAAAACAATATGATTATCAATATTCTATAGATTAAAAATAGAGTTAGCAAAGTCTGTAGTACCTGTAATTGCAACTTGTTCACCTTGATTGGATTTCACAAGTACTGTGACATCTGAAAGTGTATGTCCAGGTGTTGGGACCACCTTCACAGACTCATTGATGACATATTCTTGTCCTATAAAAATTTTTAGTAATAACACAAATTGTACTTTCCATAGATAAGTATATTGTTATTAACATACCTTTGTCAAAGGGAAATATATAGTATTTGTCTTTATAAGATATACTAAACCCCACTATATGTTTTGCTTTTAAGAAAAGATTATTATTTCCTATATGATCCGAGTGCCCGTGAGTTGAGACAACGTAATTTATATCTTCAGGTATAACGCCGTGAGATTTTAGCGCTGAAAATCAAAAATTATGAATGACATTAAAAAAGCCTGTGTCTTCTTGATTTAGTTGAACTATCATATAATTTTGATTCCAGCAAGATTCTTATCAGATCGTGTTCCAAAGAAGGAATTTGGAGTAATTGGAAAATGCAGATTTAATACAAAACTTCGTAATTAATTGTGTAAACACACCGCTTATAATTTTATCCGAATCCCAAGCTGTCATAGTATCTACAATTATATTGTGAGCGCCTTTAATTAATGTGCAAGTACAATTAGCCGTCATCTCATCGTTTGCACTCATAGTTGAGTACCCATTGAAAAGAACTGCTATTTCACTCATTTTTATTAAAAAAAAACCATCAATATTCAAATCAAAGATTCCTATTTTACCAGCTGACTGTCAAATTAGATAAGACTAATTTTGACAGTGACATTGACAATTCCGGATAAGAACTTTACAAAGCATGATAGGTGTAATTTAAAGTATAACATTTTTTACTTTAAGCTCTTTATAATTTTATAAAATAAGTGGATTCATTAGATTCTGTACAAAATTAAGAAGTAAAGCATTTTATCAATAAATCATACAAGTATTTAAACAATAAAGGACGATTTATAAGTCTATTTACCGTTTAGAATTTGCGTATCGTGTGACATATAACGTTCCTTTATATTTTTTGTATATCTATCTCCCTTCTCAGCTGTCTTCGCCGGTTATTTTTAGGGTTAAAATCTAAAATAAATTTGTGAAACCAGCAGTGATACTTTGTTAGGTAGGTTATTTTAAATTTTCAATGTGCGCCACGAACAATTTAATTTTTGAAAATTGCGCAGTTAAATAATACGCATCTGGCGCCTTTTGTTGCGCAAGCTCACATTATATTCTTTGTTTACACAGGGTTATGAAACAATAAGGGGCCCATATCTGTCGCTTAAATAGCGCCAGACTAAAACTAATGATGTCGGGTGATGTGCAGCCAAGAAAACGGAAGGATAAGAGAAGAAAGAAAGGTAAGAATGTGTTGGAGTAGAATGTTGTATGTCTTTGTTTAAATGTACTTAAATATGTTAATTTATTGTAGATGAGCTGGGAGTTGAGGAGCCGCGTGGGACGGCGGCAGTATTCGGCGATGGCGATGTGTTGATGCACTCTCATCACGAACATGGCACTGGTGGACACTGGTGTGCAAAAATCATCTTCTTCTCACTACTGTCTGTTCTTGTTACATTAATTGTCCTCATAATTCTCGAAAACAGAGGACTTACTGAATGTAAGTATTACAACTTTCATTCTTAAGTTGTCAGTTTTCTCTTTTCATATTAGTCTGACATACATACCTTTCCTAGCTATAGAATGAAATCTAATTATTAATTAAACATTTTTTACTTTTCCAGTGGAAGCAAATTCAGTAGAATCCCGTTACTCTGGTGTCTTAGATGGATGGATCGAGGATACACCTGATGATGATCATCATGACGAACATACACTTGACCTAAAACACCATGTAAGTTGTTTTTCATTGCTAAATTTTTTCTTTATTATTCATTTTATTATTTCATTTTGATCTTATCCATTCTATGGTTTAATGATAAATTCCTTGCCAATATAAAAATAGAGTTATGAAGATGTTCATGATGATGGTGATGATGACAATCAACATGAGATTGAGACAGAACATGATGAAGATGAACATAATGAATTTACTGACGAAGATGATGAAGGTGAAGACGGTGATGGTCCTGATGATGATGATGATGAAAATACTGAAGATGACGATGATGATGTAGACCATGACGATAAAGATGATATTGGTTATGAAGAAAATGATGAAGAAGATAGTGATGAGAAGAATATAGAAGAGGATGATGATGAGGTGTGATAAACATAAATAAAACCTTAATGTTAAGAGAATTTACTAATATTAACAATTATTTGCTTACTTTTCCAATTGTATTGATTTAGCTTGACAGATATTGTAAAATATTTTTTGTACTCATTTCTTCGATACATTTGAACAGGACGATGAAAGAATTGAATACAAGAAATATTCGTATGAGGAACAAGGTGATGACAACGACGATGATGACGAAAATGATGATGATAATGCTAATGATAGTGATGATGAATTAATAAATAATGACTCGCAAGAGGACCAGGATGATGATGATTCCAAAGAAGATTTTAATGAACAAGATAAGAGCAATGAGCTTAAAGATGATGATGATGATGATGATGATGTTGATACAAATGAGGACCATGATTTAGAGAATGATGGAAATGACAACGAGAATGAGGTGCACAAAACCAGTAAAATGCGTGTCAGCTATTGACAACTACTAATATATTTTTGAGAATGATAATACTCTAACTCAGAATAGTATTTGGTTTACGACATCAAAAAGGATGTAAAACAACTGTCCTGCTGGAACTGTTGTGTGTTCTGTTCTGCGCTGTTCTCTAAAGATTTGCTTCAATTAAAATCAGCTGCAAAAATAATTACTAAAAACTTTTTTACGATAAAATAGAATTAAATGCATAATGCCTCTAGAAACTACTACTTGATATGTTTTAATTAATGATGTTTTAATATTTTAACAATATGTTTTAAAACACCTTAGAAACTTGTACTATTTATAAAGTGTTGTTAAAAGAGAGCATGGCGTTATTTATAAGTCATAACAATATTTAAATTGCATGTTAAAGTTTTATTGGTCTTTTAGCATTTTTTAATTACATGCAAAAGGCTCTTTGGAATGTTTAAATCAAGATTGTTTACTTTAATTACTAATTGTATTTACAGGATGAGGAAGAGAACGAACAAGATGATGACGACGAAGAAGTAGAGAGAATAGAAAGAGAAGTTGTGGATGAGGAAGAGATAATTTCATCTGAAAAGCCTGATGATGTAGACAATAATGAAGAAGGTAAGCATATTGACGTTTAACTTATTTAAATACTAGCTTTTCCCCGCGGCTCCATCCGCGTGTAAATAAAAATAACCAAGTAGCCTATGTATTCTTCCAGACTATAATCTATATTTGTGCCAAATTTAATCGAGATCCGTTCAGAAGTTTAAGCTACAAACTCTTACAAACATTCATCCAAACATTCGCATTTATAATATTAGTAAGATAGTAAAGTTATTTAATTATGGAAAGTTTTATCACTATGTACATACTTGTATAAGCTAAAAATGCAAAAAGCTGCAGAGAGTGTATTAAAATTAATACTATTGTAATCATATTGTTAACTTTCAGATGATGATGAACAGAAAGAAGAAATAAATGATGAAGATGACACGCCTGATGTTGAAGACATCGAGCCGCCGATTGTAGAACAAATCCCAGTACCGTCGGGAAAACCCTTTGTGGAAGTGAGTATTTACACATCTTTTAGATTACTCTCAAATTAACTGATTCATTGATTGTCAAAGCAGAAGTTGTAAAAAATAAATAAAAAATGGGCATCATACTAATGTTATAAATGTAAAAGTTTACATGGACGGATGGATGTTTGTTAGAGTTTGTGGCCTTAATGATTCTATTGAATTTGGTCTAGATGTAGGCGATAGTCTGGAAGAACACATATGCTAATTACTTTTGTTTTTTTATTAATTCCTCGCGGATATAAATATATTTCGTGCGAAATAATTCGCGGGCCAAAGCTAGTAATTATATAAACTTCCATCTTTTTTTCGGTTTTTTTTTTGTTGTCGTTTAAAATTTTTCGTGCTAATTTGCTATTATGTATTTTTTTACATATATTAATTTGAATTAATTTTGATCTGGTAGTTGGAAGATGAACCGTCCTCTGAGAAACCAACCGACACTTTAGCTGAAGAGGAGGAGTATGAAAAACGACAAGAACAAATTCGACTCGAAAAAGAAGAATCTTCGTCACAGAGTAAGTAAAAATTACTATTTTTTTATTTTTTTATCTGTAGGATTGCTTGCTCGTTTTTAACCTTATCTAAACTTGGAATGCTTGCTTTTTACTAACCACTAATTGAATAAAAAAATGTATCATTTTAAAATAAATATTTAATAAAAATTCTTGTATTTTATTATTGTTGTAAATATCTGTAGGACACTCCTAATTAATTAATGCTAAAAAATGTTTTTTCATATCTCAACTAAGCGATTTTACCGTATAATAGGAACTTTAATTTTTGTCAAGTGCTTTAAATATGAATTGTTCAACAAAATCATCATCACCCACTTGACCTTATCCCTTGATTGTTCAACAATATCGTCCCGATCAAATGAAAAAAAAACAAGAATGTGTTTTCGAGTTCTTGAATTTCTAAACAGTGTTTACTAAATTTCTCGATAAGCTGTCGAAATTGGACTCGCCGCAAATATATCAATAATTTATTGTAAAAAAAATTCTACGCGTTTCGACTTTAAGTTGATTTTGGACAAAGGTTTTAGGTTACGTCAAATCGTATCGCGTCGTGTGTGTCGATTTCCAAGTACAAGTACTTGATCTATAAAAATCGGATGGATGGATGTTTGTTAGAGTTTGTAGCCTAAACAGCTGACCGGATTTTGATGAAATATGGTGTGGCTCACTTTTGTTTATATTTAATTCCACGCGGACGGTTTCGCGGACGAAAGCTAGTATTAAAAATGGCGAATAATGTATGGTGGTGTTACTTAGCCCGATGGTGTAAATTCGTGCCGCGTGTGTTGCAGTGTGGCTGAAGTTGGCGGTGGGGGGCGCGCTGCTGTTGGCCACACACGCTGTCTTACGACGCTCCGCAGCGCCCGGCGGTGCGTATACGTACAATATGACAAAACTTGCCGTAACACTAAATAGTAACTACCCCATACTTGTCAATTATCCAAATCTTTACCAATAACAATTGTAGAAAGTAAAAGTTAATAAAAATATTAATGATTTAAAATCATACTCGTTGAATTCGATATTAAATCTATCGAAAAATCATAAAACAAACCGACCTTACTTGTCAATTATTCTCCAAGTATTTACCAATAACAAATGTAGAAAGTAACAGTAAATAAAAACATCAAAGATGAGTCCTATCGAAATCATACTGTTAGAATTCAATATTAGATCATAAAACAAACCGACCATACATGTCATACAATTAATTCTCAAAACAGATACGCCAGAAAGTGAGGATAGTGAAACGAGAGAGGAAACTCCGACTATAATAGATAGACGTATGACGCTCCTTCCCAGAGAAACTGCACCCTTATTGACCCCGGAAACTAACGAACCAGTAGAAGAAATTATCGAAACCCACGAATCAATTAAAACAGCAGTTCAATCAGTTCCTAGACTTAAGCAAGAGAATGACGAAAAAGAAGTAAAGGAATTTGTTAAAAAGGTAAGTAAATTGACAAACTTCTTTAGTGATATTGTTTAAAAAAATATTTAAAACTATTTGCCAAATACAGGAAATTATCATAGAACAAGAAACAAAAGATGTAGACAAAGAATTGTATAGTGATGAAGATGAGGAAATCGATGAGGAAGAAATCATTGAGAAGGAACCTTCGAATGATAATGCCCTAGAGAAGGAGGCTGACGATTCTGAGGCCGAAGAAGTTCCGGACGATGTGGAAATTATCGACGATGAACAAATCGAGGAAGAAATAGAAGATGAAGAAGATGAAGAGGAGATTTCTGATGTTGACGATGGGGAGCTATTGAGTCGTTTGGAAGCTAAATACGGGCGGCTGCCGGAGCCGGAGCGGCCCGGACAGAGACGCAGTAAACAGCATGTTTGAGTGTGCCTGCTTCATTACTAATACATTGCTCGCATATACTCGTATATCTAACTAAAACGGACCATAGATTTAACACTATTTTCAATTGTTCAATGCAGTTTTATATTTTTTCAAGGACCTATACATTTTTTTTGTTTTTTTTTTTAAATGTTGTGTTTTAATTTGTCGCTTGACCAATTTTAAATGTGGATCGAAACATTGTCTCGCTTTTTATAATATTTACTGATTTCCGAACGTTACTTATTTTTAATAATGAAGGGCACAGTCAAAAGCCTTTGTGTAATTGCTATAAATTACCAAGACAGCTTATCAGATAATATTTCTTCGGTGTAAGAAAAAATATTCTTTTTATAAATGTAAATAAAAATACAATCAATATTTTTACTTTCCAGAGGATGGTGGGAACAACGTAGAAAATGAATGGCCGGACGAGCCGAGCGACCCGTATTGGCGTAAGCAACTAGACATCGCTGAAGATGAAATCCGCCAGGTATTTATTTCTATCAAGTAACATTTATTTAATGGTGAACATCCACTTCGGTACAGAAAACGTTAATCTGATTTTTTAGCATATTTTGTAGATGTTTCCTTACACTTAAGTTATTCATTTTTGCCCTTTATCTTATCTTGTTTTATGTAATAGAAGAAATTAAAACGTAATAGTTGTTTACATAAATTGAGAAAATCTATTTAGGTAACTGATAAATTACAGTGTTAATAAATCTATGTATCAATGTTTTTAAAACCTAGAAACTTGGACAATAATTTGTATTCTTACTTTTATATCTAATAGTGTGAAGTTGTTGTAACTACTTTGAAAATAAAATTGACCGTGATTTGATATTTAACTGACGTATTGGGAAAGATTAAGTTATGAAGTTAGTAAATTTATTAAATTCGAATCAAGTAAGATTCACATTTTTTATTTTTTTCAAATCACGTTTAAAATGCATGCACGTGTGTTGACCGCAACAAGCATACGTTTTAATTATTATCTCCTCAGCTTATGTGAAAGTACTAATCAAAATAAGTAAGAATACAATATAGGTATATAGATAAATGAAAACTACGGTTTAAAGCACAATATCCATAATTTAATACAAATATTCGATTCCAGGAGTGGCTGGATTAACAAATAGTTTTTGCACTTTAATATTTCCCCTGCCGATTCCATCCCTTGCTCGTTGTGCCATTTTTTTCCCTCTATCTCGTAGGTGTCGTGTCGGCCGCGTGTCGTGCCCGCACCCCGCACGATACGACTTCCACACGACACCAACGATATCTCATCCTATTATTATCGTATAACCATTTAGCTACTGTTTGATTTATATTGACTATTGTGTAGATAATAAATCTTTCTAAAGATGAAAGAATTTTTGAAATCCGCCCTTTTTACGTTAATCGAATACATATATTTAAAATAATTCGAATACATACGAAAATCCAGAAATACAAATTTTGCTCTTTATAATATTAGTATAGCTGTTGCTCGCGACTTCACCCGCGTGAAATTAATAATATAAATAGCCTATGTTACTCACGGATAACGGACCTTTCTAATGGTGACAGAATTAAAATTGGCCCAATAGTTTTCGAGTTATATCAATACATACAAATATAAGAAATCTTTCCTTTTTATATTAGTATAGATTACAAGTTTTTATACATAGTTACGCTTACAATAAGTATAGCAGTGTGTGAGTGTTGAGTGTTGTGTACTAACGGGAGCGGGGGCTGGGGGCGCTGGGGGCGCTGGGCGCGGCGCGGGCGCGCGTGTCGCGGCCGGAGGTGGCGGGCAGCGCGCGCGCTCGCCACCTCGCCGCACTCGCTCTCGACACCGAGGCCGAGCTGCGCCAGAGCAACGAGCTGCTCTCCCGCGCTATACAAGCGTACATACAACTGGTCAGAACAACACGGCTACCTGACCCCTTACTGATCGAAGTCGCTACTAAAACATTGAAAAGGATAACTTTTAGAGGTAAGTACCTTTTAAATGTACGAAGCAATAATGATATCCTAGTAGTAATCAACTTAAATGCATGATTTTTTTATAACATAAGGTGGCAAACGTGCAAGCGGCCATCTGAATCCGCCAAAATGGCGAAGCGACCGCTGCCCATAGACATCCGCAATTGCAGATGCGTTGCCTACCGTTATTCGACAAAGGAGGAGAAGCACATAAAGAGCTTTCCGCTTCCTATGCATCTCCTCCTCCGTCAGATCAACTTCCCCTTCCCATCCTCTCTTTATAAGAAAAGGATGGTAAAGAGAAAGGGATTTAAATTAAGCCTCCGGCACCACAATCATCAGACGAAACACAGAATTGCCTCCATTTCACGCCTGTCTTCTGTGTGGTCGTGGTATTACTGGGGACGTGCCGGCCCTGCAGTGCTAAACTGTTAAAGCGGGCACTACCACTGTCGAATGATGCATTTATACATCAGTCTTCTCTTCCACACCAAATAAGTTTTTTTTCTTTATTTTTCCCTTGATCTATGTTCAATTTACTACCCGTTTCAATTTAGAACATTTAAAAAGAAAAATCAAGCATTTAAGGGTTAATAGTACTTTTCTTGTCATCAACAATGAGCAAAATCTGAAACATTATGCTTGTGTAGTGATGATAATTAGATAAACTTAGTCTACACAGACATTACGATTACGTATTCATTAATTTAACGTTTTGTTTTCAGGAAATTACTTAAGCGCCGAACCTGTCTACAGAATTCTAATCAACCGATTTCCCAACGAAATATCTTATAGAAACAACCTGACCATCACCTTCCTAATGGCCAATAAGTATGTTTGTTATTGTATCACAATGTTTTGTCAACAGTAGCATTTAAGTTTACACATAGTAATTACTCGAAAACGTTACATTAGGATAGCGTTCTATATTTTACCTACCGAACCCAAATATTTACCAATCCTACCAAAAATATAGACCCATCTAAGATTTTTTTATCTTTTAATAGACATTTGAAATAAGATAAAGCCTCTAGAAAACAATTATCGTGGATCGAATAAAATACCTAAAAAATATTAAAATTCGTATACTTTTTTTTTGTTTCAGACCAGATTTAGCTGCTGAGGTACTAAAACATACACTGAAATTGTGGCCGAACGATCGCGTAGCTCTTGCTCATTATGGATTTGTTTTAAAAACTCATTATAACAAACTTGAAGAGTCTGTTATTATGTTCAGTAAAGCTTTGGAAAATGACACAGGGCCTGCGTGTGAGCCACGATTTTATTATCACTTGGGAGATACCTTGCTATTGCTCGGGCGCTTCAAAGAGGCACGCGAAGTTCACGAGCGCGGCGCAGCGCTCGGACACTTCCTATCACCCGCGCAACGCTCCTTGTACAATGTAGACAGATTGAAAGGTCAACCATGGTGGTCAATCGAGGAAACTCCATACATACAATTAGCAAACGCATTAGAACGATCCTGGAAAGAGATATTAAAAGAAGGAGAAGCGGCGCGCGCCTTATATGAGAAAGAGAAGGAGGGGCTAAAAGAGAAAGGGGAGTGGTCTCAGTTAGAGTTATTTGTGAGAGGCAAAGAGATACCGGGGCGTTGCAAACGAGCGCCGGTCACTTGCTCTATTGTGAAAATGGAGGCAGCCGCCGCCAGCTGCAGCAGGGGGCAGGTGAAGTTCAGCGTGATGTCGGCCGGCACGCACGTGCGCCCGCACGTCGGCCCTACCAACTGCAGGCTGAGAATGCATTTAGGTTTGAGCAATACCAAACATACTTACATACGAGTGGACCAGGAAATAAGGTATGTTTTGAACCATCTCTCAACTTAACTAATGCCCTTATTTTTGAGGAATAAAGCTTTTTAATGATTTTTACCGCCAAATATGTACAAACAAAATTTTATCATATTTCATAGCAATTTTATAAATGCGAAAGTTTGGTTGGTTGCATGGATGTTTGTTAGTCTATTTCCTACACGGCTTGACGAATGTCGATGTAAGAACACAGGCTATTTTTTTATTCACATTAACAACGTCACGACCGAAATACGAGTACACTAGCTTTTGCCCATGATCCCATGCGCGAGGAATGAAGATCCTCTACATCTATGCCAAATTTCATCGAGATCTGTTCAGCAGTTTAGGCTACAACCTCTCACAAACATCTGTCTAATCTTTCATTTATAGTATTAGTAAGCTTTATTTTAATTCGACTTCAAAATTCTCCAAAGCTATATCCCATTATCTGGTTAAGCCATTACTTTAAGAGTCATAATAATATGATTTTTATATCAGAGAATGGCAACTCGGCAAGGTGTTGTTGTTCGACGACAGCTTCGAGCACGAGGTGTGGCACAACGGCACCGGCGCCCGCCTCGTGCTCATCGTGGACGTGTGGCACCCGCACCTCGCCGCCGCCGAGCGCCGCCGCCTGCCCGCCATATGACGTCACTGCCTCACTGCCTCACTGCCACACTGACATAACGCAATACTATACTACAAAACTCACTTTGATGTACGATGTCAGCAATCACAGCATGTTTCTGAATAATCCTTATCTTATTATAAAGATCAATAAATAATTGACGTACGGGAAAGAACAAAAACGAACCAATAGTAACAAAGAAGCAACATTGACATGGTAATTGTTCGCGGACACCTTTGATTAAACTATCGCACAACTGTTTATCGATTCGATTCCTATGTGCTGGTACTGGAGTATGGAGGTACACTACACGATTTTTAATTGTGCAACTAAATAATTGAATTGGCAATGAAACAATCGCATAACTGTTTTGTGATAGTTTAGTCAAAGGTGTACGCACGCTCTAACTAAACCTTAACCAAAGGCAAAGGCCTGTGGTGTCATTTGTGCATTTGAACAATAAAAGTTCTCACTCGGTTTCCACTCACCCTAAAGAATTGCCCCATTAAAGCGTGTTAGTTTATGCCTTTTTATATTGTCTCATAAAAGTTTTAAAATTTGACCATACAATGATCTGTCTTGTTGATATAACTCTGTAGTTTATTCTTATTTTATTATTTTAGTTAATATTCTTTTTAAGTGTAAAATGAACTTATTTTTTCTAGTCGACATCCAAAATAAAGAAAATGTAACGTGTCTATAATGAAAGTACAACTGTGGATAGCAAAATATAGCGTTTATCAGTTTGTAAATCGATTGTAGCGGTTTGTTTTACGCGAAGAGTATTTCGTTCATGCTCTTTGATTGTTGATTTTTTATCTTGTAATCTGAGAATCCTTATTATTGTATTAAAATGTGTAGTATGTACTATATTTTTTGTAAATACAATTCAATGCTCGAATTCAGTTTTTTTATTTAATCAACATTTTTTCAGTAGTAAACCATAAACAAACTTTATCCCAGAAAACGTATTTTCGCCCACGACGTCGAAAAACAACATATACTTATATTATAAATGCGAAAGTTTCGATGGATTGATGGATGAGTTTGTAGCCTAAACGGCTGAACGAATTTCGAAAAAAATTGGCATAGGTATGAATAGTCTGGAAGAACACATAGGCTACTCACTTGTTTGTTTTAGTACCACGAGGACGGAGTCGCGGGCGTAAGCTAGTTACAAATACTATGGTTGAAAGGATGATAAGCTAGAAAGGCTAGGATATGAATTAAAACAAACGTAAGTTCCGTGTCCTTCGTATATTTGGTATAATTTACCCAAAGTTTGCGTAAAACCTAAACATAACTATTAATAATCTTATACTAATAAAGCTCATTTCTTAATAACTATTAAAGATACAGTGAATGTGTAAAATAAGCTCGCAAGTAATGTGGCAGAAATATATTTTAACAATTACCTACATATTAGAGTCAAAAAATTTGTGTTTTTATAAATTAATAGTATTACAACAGATAAAAAACATAGAGCATCAGGTGTTTATAACATGAAGCTTAAATATTATAATTGCAATATCTTTGTAAAATTTATATTGCCAAAAGTTTGTATAAACGAAATTGTGTCTCGAATAAGAACATTGGTTGGATATCAAATTGTGTCTACATTTGAAACATTTACCCATGATATTTAAATGCTTCAAGTTGTGCAAGATTTACTAAACTATATTACAATCCATGTTCTCATATTAATTCATCAAATTCTTTCAAACTGAATGTGTCTTTTCCTAACATATGTAAAGAACCTTATACAAAATGTGAAAATATTGTCTTAACATATTTTAAAGCTAAATATTAAGATAAAACTAAGATTTGTTAACTTAATGGGCAATTATAAAATGTTCCCATATTGGACGGACAGTTAAATCGGTGGATTTCCTAAATGGAATGTTGGAACACAACAAATGATAATTTGTTATGTTTTACAATTTGTTGATTGTCCTATAAAATTAAGTATCGTAAATATTAAATCAGATTTTAAAAATATTTAAAACATTATATAAAATAGCATTCATACTACAAACTTGTGCCACAACATAACACTGTCATTAACTAACCCTTAAAATAACAATATAAAAAGGAATGTATTTCATACATCAACAATGACTCGAGAGATTCGTTAGTATTTATCACCTAGTATTTTAACCATAATAAAGTTGAAAAAAGACAACATACAATTCCTATAAATTCGAGAAAATACATACTTGTATGGACATTTAAAATCTTAACTTAAATAATAATAAGTCACCTAAAAACATTATCAATTCTAATAAAAACTGAGCATCACTGGAATAAGGCACAGATAGTGAAGGTAAGATTTAAGGCACTGCATTATATGTGTCATTTGTGGGCTGGTACGCGGGCGGGCCGGGCGCCTGCGGCGTGGCGCGCGCGCTGTACGGTGGCGCGGGCGGGGGCGGAGCCTCCCAGCCCCCCTCCACCGGATATCCCATCGCACCGTAATCATTACCGCCATATGATGCAGACTCAGAAATAGGACTTACTGTATCCATACGAGAATCATAAGTAGGAGCAGCAACTTCATAACCCCGACCTACATTATCATAGGAAGGAGTATTCGTTTCATAGTTTCGTTGTGGTTCGTAACTTCTAGGTTCGTTGTATGGTCCGACTACGTCGTGGCCGATGTTGGCTCTGCTTCTCCTTGTGGAGTTAAATCTATTGGTCATTATTGGCACGGACTCTGTCGGCGGGGGAGGATCGTAAACGTCTTGGGAGCGTGTCAATGTGTTCTTCTCCGTAGTGTGATAAGACGCCGGCCGCGCCGCATGGAAGTTGGAATACGACGAATGAGCCGACGTCGGACGGGACTGTCTGGCGTCCCGAGGCAGCGACGCATTAGAAGACAAGTAGCCTGCGTTTCTGTAAGACCTTCGAGACCTTCGGACCGAGGAGCCCGTACCTCTTGAGCCAGATCGTCGCTTAACACGCCTTGGAGTCATCGGTTTCGATGAGCTTTCACTTATATTTGTTTCAGTGGGGCTTAATTCTATTGTATATGCAGGTCTTCGCGGTAATGTACTTTTATCTGCAAAATAAATTGTTCCATTTACAATGCCATATTGCAAAACAAAAAAAAATAAGTGGAGTTGATATTCTTTACCTGAAACTGTTTTGTGTTTTTTGAAAGACTTAAAAGTGAGAAGAATAGTGATTGGCAGAGCTGTGACAGTAAGCAGTGCAGCGACAGCAGACTGTGCTAGCTCCACAAGGTGCCATTGCAGGAAACATCCATCAACATGCTCAGGTCTCCAAGTTCCAGGGCCGTCCACTTCACCCCACATTGGCTGACATCCCCACCCATTGCCCTCCCACCAGCTAACACTCCCAGTTCCAAGTGATAATAAACCACTTTCCTGAAACAAGAAGAAGATAGACTCTTAGTTAACAACTGATATGTTTCCTTTTTAATTATAGGTAATTTCAATTGTATTTTCATATCTACTTACTCTGTTAAGTCCTCCAAGATTGAGGTAGTAGCACATGAGGAACACATTCCATGTCAGCCACATGAAACTCCATATTGCATACTGAAATATCCAAGTTAAAACAAATAAAAAGTCAGTAACCTTTAAATCAAGTCAATCATTCAATTTCAATTCAACTCCTATTTCTGATTTTGATTAATAGAAAATTTGCTTACAACTAGATTTTTTTATAACATAACTGTGGAATTTTAAAAATCACCATTTGTCCTCAACAAGACATTAACACCACTTTGTATCTGACAAAAGCTACATGAATTTTTAAATTGAAATAACAATGCTTTGTTGTTAACAAAGAAGGAATACTCACAGCTAGTAGATATCTTGTTATATATTGAACTGCACCAAATGATCCGAATATTATAAGCAGAATATTAACAAAGTTTGCTATTATAGGCAACCACATATAACCCAAGAAATCAAACACTTGCCGTTGTACGGTAATGATCTGAAAAGATTAAAGAATAAGCAATAATAACAAAAAACTCGGTTAATAGGTCAAATTAGACAAATTATTTTGAAGGTTTCAGATATGTTCGAAATTATTTTAAAGAAATAATGACTTTGTTATTAATTAAGTAATCATCTACACAAATAGAAAAAGTTACTAAATCAGAATCATATGTTTATAAAATAAGATGAATAACAAAGTTTTTGCTTCAAATAAACCAGTTGCTTTCTCAAGCACACTTACCAATTCTAGTATACAGACGATTAACAACACAGTTCGCAAGCTACAAACAGCCATTTCAAAGTTTGATTTGTTACTTCAATACATAACAAAATAATAATTTAAAGTAATTTATTTCCATCGTAAAAACTTCTTGATTACATATTCCAACGGAATGCGGAGACGACGTACGACATAATATACGCCACAAACCATAGATTCAGAAATGTCAATGTCAAGCACAACTCAACTGTCATCGTCTTGTTGAATGTTTTTGGTTGTAAGAGTGGGGCTTTTGTCTCGAAAAAAGGGAAAGTAATATTTTAAATGTGTTTTTATCTCAATAATATTATGAAAAAAATATTTGAATGTTTGGTTTTAAAGAACTTAAGTAAACCGAAATGGGGAGTTTAGCAAAGTGGATATAAAGAATAATGAATTCGCATATAAGATATAAGCAGCAACACTAAGGTTAGTGTCATTACTCTTCAAGTTTTGAAAAATTCATTTCACCTTACTTTCGATCGCCGGTAGTTTCCGTTTTCGTTATTGATCGACTAGAGTAGTTATTCTTACCACTGCCATCTTATTAGACACTCAATACACATTACTCATCTTTACTCATAAAAGCGCCTAAACCTCTTTGTGAGTATATTACTTTACTTTTTACAGTAATTCTCTTCGAATTTTAACACCGGTAACCTATTACAATTCGAATCCTTTATTTCAGATCGAAATGGCGACCGAAACCTTAGTCCCACTGGAATCTAATCCTGAAGTAATGAATAAATTTCTTCAGAAGTTGGGTGTTCCTAGTAAGTGGAACATTGTCGATGTGATGGGTTTAGAACCCGAAATGCTATCCTGGGTTCCACGCCCTGTTCTGTCGGTCATGTTGCTGTTCCCTGTGTCAGATGCTTATGAAGAACATAAACAGAAGGAAGAAAATGAAATCCTCTCCAAGGGTCAAGAAGTGACTAACAACATATTTTACATGAAGCAAAATATCAGCAATGCTTGTGGCACTGTTGCCCTGGTGCACAGTGTTGCCAACAATACTGATAAAATTAACTTGACCGATGGTCACCTTAAGAAGTTCTTAGATGAAGCTAAGCCTCTGGATGCTGCTGCTCGTGGCACTTTGCTTGAGAAGTCGGAGGGTATTATAAATGCTCACAAAGAGCTGGCTCAGGAAGGCCAAACTAATACTCCTAGTGCTGAGGATCCTGTGAATCATCATTTCATTACTTTCGTCCACTTGGATGGAGCTCTGTACGAATTGGATGGACGTAAAGCATTCCCCATTAACCACGGGCCAACTACTCCTGATACTCTGTTGGAAGATGCAGCAACAGTTTGCAAGCAATTTATTGCCCGTGATCCAAATGAAGTTCGCTTCACTGTAGTTGCTTTGACTGAGGCTAATTGATTTTTTTAATATTTTGTATGATGCCAAGCAGTCATTATTAAATGTGTGCTTCGAATAGTATGCTTAAGCATTTTGATAATTTCATACCAAATTTTGTAAAGCATTGCAAGCTTACGTGATATTCTTACACAAGTGATTAGAAATAAATTATTTATTTTCCAAAAAACTTTTTAATTTTTTTACCAAGACCAGACAAGATTATATTATAACAATAAGCTTGAAGTTGTTTAATCTTACAGTTAAGAAAAATTTCTTGACAACCTTAATTAATTTGACCTTTCACTATTGTTTTAATCCAATAAAGATAAGTAGAAAATACACTGTATGTTATGAATACCTTAGTACTTAGTTGAATTCAATCAGTGTACAATTCTTATAATATTGACATGGTTAATAACAAAGTAATGTTGAGCATTTAATATCAGCTAGTTTGATGAAGAATTATGCTTCTTTACATGAAATAAATCTGCTATACCTTCCCATTATTCAATTTACAGTTTTCATATTGCAGTATGAAATTTCTTATGATTTCTTTGAAAAGATTTATATCATAACTAGCTTTCGCCCGCGACTCCGTCCGCGTGGAAATAAAAAAAACAAAACAGAGTAGCTTATGTTTTCTTCCAGACTATCCTCTACATTTATGCCAAATTTCATAGAAATTCGTTCAGCCATTTAGGCTACAAACTCTAACAAACATCCATCCATCCATCTAAACTTTCGCATTTATTATAGTATCATAATATGGTTATACTACATATGCAGATTTAAAATAATAGATTAGTTTTTTTAAATAATTTATTAGTTATATGCTTTGCATTATTATACAACTATACATCATAAATAAACACATTTTTCCATGTAAATTATTGAAATAAAAACTTCAATATAAAACAACATTGAAAATAAAACTATTAATTGTAACAGTCATGTAAAATTAAACGACATTTACAAAAATAGGCAAATCTCTTTTCAAAAACCTTAAACTAATAACAATGTGCGTGTCAAATAGTTGTAAATCAAACATTATTTTTTTAACAGATATTTTTCAGATTAACTCCAGAATAAATTATTTAAAAAATACAGATATTAAATTCACTAATTAAATTATTCTATGGGTAATTTCAGAATTACAATACCTTTAAAATTAACTTACAAGAATACCAGCATTGAGATATGTAATATACTAAGCTTATAGCATAAAGATAAAAGATATGTTTCTACTGACCATTAAAAACTGTCTTCACATGATATGGAAAAAATTACATATATTCTAAAGCCAAGAGAATAATATACTGACATACTAATTTACATGGAGATCATAAGTCATAATAATCATATTTATACAGTAAATCTAGTTGTTTAATTAACAAGATATTAAGGTGATTCAGTTTTACCTTGCAGTGTTTTTAATTGTCAATGTTTTTTAAAGATTAGTAGTAATCTAGGATATTAAACAATAAATTATACTATGTACTAAATTACAAAAAATTGAGTTAGTTAAATATAAACAAAATCTGAAAAGATCTAGGAACAAAATATTTAAAATAACCTTTTAAATAAAATAATCTAGTTATGTCCCATTATGTTACTTAATTTAATGTTGTAATAATTTACGTATAATTGTATTTTAAATTAATAATATCTTTGCAAATAATCGAAATATTTTAACATATAATATCACAAAAGCAACTAAAACAAGTTGATGCTACTTAACCTTGTAAATTACATATTAAGCCAGCTATACTCCTTTAGTTTTAAATTAACACTCAGACTATTCTGTTAAAACTGTGCTTTAAACTGAAGATGTGTGTATCAGGCTTTTCAATTCCCTATGTCATCTTATATGTGGTAAGTACTTGAAATATAGCAATGAACTACAACAGTGCAATTTAGTACCTATTTCCACTGGTGCTGTGGCGATTGCTATACAAAATGACAGCCAGATAACTGCCAAGTGGAAACAGCCACTTAATGCTTAAGTATTTTGATACAATTAATTTATAGCAAATCCGTTGGTGGGCCTGTTTCTTCAATTGTATTGATAGATGGATTATTATCTGTGAACAAACACAAGTCATAGTATATTTAATCTTTTAAAACCTGTTTATATGTGTTATCTTAAATATAATTTTAAAAATCAAAACTTTGTTTTGTTCCATAACAGAGAAACATACAACTTAGTCATTTGTGCAAATACAAAATGTTTAGATTCAAAAGATTGGTAAAATTTTTAATATTGTTACTTACCATTAGCAATTTGAGTATCTGGTGTTAACTTAGGCGTTGTTAGTGTACAAATAAGCCCTAGAACAGTGGCGCCCCCGCACACACAGGATAGCACACTGCGGTAGTACTCAGTACTTGCACCATCCGCACTGAAAATGTATAAACACTATTAAGATCTTGAATGTCGTTATTTTGTCACAATCCATTCCTCTTAGTGAAGCCTAAGTTTGAGAAATCTATACTAAGGGTCAAGAGCGACGCAAGCCAATAATCTAGGCTAGATCTAGGGGTGGCTTTAACCATTTGGTCCATTTTTTTTTATAAATTAAATACCTGACAATTAGTTTTTGAGCTGCCTATGTGAATCTATAGGGGTAAGCAAGATCTTAGTAGTTCTAAGCAGTTTTTATACATATTTTACATTTTGCGATTGTCTAAGAGGTGGAGGAGGGATGGAAAGTCTATTCTAGGGATTGTAGTTGGTAATAATAGGAAACTTACTACAACTGTATAATAGCAATGACAGCTCCACATGATAGTTTGTCTGTGAAGCTCATAAGACCATATACAAAGGCTGATGCCTCCGTCCTGTCACCCACCAGATCAGCTGTCAGTGACAGACTTGTTACAAGCATTTGAGATCCACCAAAACCTACAAAACAAAATATAATTGTTAACAGCAATCATTTAGAACCATTTGATTTGATGTTTTTCGTTTTAAAATTAATAGTAACAGACTTATGTTATAAAATGTTTATTTTCGATATAAAATACAATACATATACTATCTTTACAACTGCATCAGTTGTTAACTAATTTATTAATAAGTGCATGCTTAGCATAATTACAGTATAATGCTATCTTCAATATTTACTGACCTATGAGCACCGCAACAACATAAATATAATAAACTTTGTAGTCATAATCTGAATCTAGATAAATCCAAACAAAAGCAGCTAGAGAACATACTGATCCTAGCAAGTAATTCAGTTTGCGGGTAAACGATCTGGGAGCCAATCTCTGTGCCCCAGCGGCTAGCAGACTACCCAGGTACATAGCTAGAGGTATCACTGCTAATGATCTAGCCGCTAAACCCAATGTCTTGTGTAAATATAACGGGATAAACACTTGAGATATGTTGACTACAAGTCTTGTACTCATGTAAATACTTGCTACCTGAAATAATTAATTTTTAAAATTGAATAAATCCAAAGAAATGACACTGCAGGAATCTGTAAAAATTACAGTGAACGATTACTTCATTCATCTTAATTAGTAAATTTAAAGTTCAGGATAGAAAAATGGTATTAAAATACAACATGCAACTCATTTAAAAACAGCTGTGGGCTTATAACAGTTGTTATATTGAAAATATATTAAGATAATGTTAACAATTATTATTAAAAGATTTAACAACTCATATTTGAAATATCTCATAGAAAAATTAATAATGATATTAATTAGTTGATTATTTTATAAGTAAAATGTGTTATACCTTACCTGATACAATATACCCTTTCGGAATATACTAAAATGGACTCTGTTATTATCATTATAATCAATTAATGGTTGTTGTTGTCTCAAACCTCTTTCTTCAGAGACAAATATGTGGAATAGTACAGATGCTACTGTTCCCACACCAAGTACTATATAAACAATGTGTCGGAACTTCCAAGCATCAGCTGGACCCACTTGCTATAAGAAAAAACATGTTTTAAACAAAATTATATTTGAGTTTGGAATAACATGTGAAATATTAAAAATAATGAATTTTGTAAAAAAATTGGAACTTTTTGTTAATATGTCATAAATATTGTTATTGTTTCATAATTTCCATTCAAATTTAAACTGTTTCAAGATATATATATATTGTTTTGAAAATAGTGAATAAAGTCAATAACTCTCCTTTAAAATAATTTCACACAAAGTAAGTAAAATTTATACAACTATATACCTGTTTATCACATTCACCAGTAATATGTAACACAATCCACGTGATAATATAGACAAATAAATTAGAAAATACAGTAAATCCAAATCTGGAATACAAAGAAAAATATCAATAGACAAGTTTTAAAAGTATTCATAAATATGTATTGGAAGACTAGTATCAATATATCATTCATTACATCTCTTTCCAATATTATCTTTTGTTACCTAATAGCTGTAAGATGTGTTCTTATATGTGGGTCTTCTGCAAGTTCCGGTATCAAACTTAAATGAGAAATCTGCACAGCTGCCCATCCAATTTGAAAAATTAATATGAATGAAGCAAAGTAATACATCTGTGCCCATTTGTGAGCCATCGAACATCCAATGCAGTCCATAAATATAAATGGAAATGATGACAGGACACAAACAGTACCTGGAAGGAAAAGTAATGAGTTTTTTTTTTTATAACATAAGGTGACAAACGAGCAAGCGGCCACCTGAATCCGCCAAAATGGCGAAGCGACCGTTGCCCATAGACATCCGTAATTACAGATGTGATGCCTACCCGTATACAACGGAGGAGGAGACGCACATAAAGAGGACATTTCCCCTTCCTATGCATCTCCTCCACCGTCAAATCCTCTTCCCCTTCCCATCCTCTTCTTATAAGAAAAAGGTGGTAAAGAGGAAGGGATTTAAATTAGGCCTCCGGCACCACACTCATCACACGAAACACGGAATTGCTTCCATTTCACGCCTGTCTTCTATGTGGTTGTAGTATTACACCTGGCGTGCCGGCCCATTCATGCTAAGATGTTAGAGCGGGCACTACCACTGTTATAAGAGTTAATAAATCTGTTAGAATAGTATATGTTAGTAGTAATTTTATGTCATTAAATACTAATGAAACTTACCAAACAAATGCCACAATTTCCTTTTGCCATATCTTGCACTTAAATAATTATCTGTGTGGTCAGAATGATAGCCAACGAAGGGAGTAGCTAAAGCATCAACTACTTGCCCAATGAGCATCAAATTTCCTGCTTGAGTGGAAGTAAATTCAAGAACCAAGTGGAAAAATACCAAAAAATATGTAAACCACAAACTGGCACACACATCATTTAAAACATGACCAATTCCATAACCTAATTGGAGGCGTAAACTTGTTGATCTGTCATAAAACTCATTATCCATTTTTAATAAAAAAGTTGTATTTGCCAGTTCCAATACTAAAAAAAAACAGAACTGCTTTGTTGATGCCTTTTTTCTGTTAACTCCAGTTATTCGAATTAAAAATCACTACATAAGTTTTGTTTAAAGAAAAAGCTTTTGGTTATATTTATTTTTCAGGCACATAATAGCCAAATTTTATTTCACTTAACAAAGAAATAAAGCCGATCTATACCAATTCCAATTCTTTTATGTTGACAACTGATATTGTCAAGTTGACACATTTCCTGTCGATATCCTGCTTTCTTTCCACACAGGATTCCATAACATTTTTTGTTGAATTAAATTGATTTAAGTGTTAAATAATGTGAAATTATGTCTTTTCTAGTGTTTCGTTAATGGTAACAATTTAACTTGTTTTCGCGGCAAATAAGTAAACATTAAACTTATACAGATATACGAAATTAATGTAAAAAGTTAAGACAATTTTTTTTATCTTTTTAGACATTAAAAGCAAAGTCAACTGTCAACAATAAATGTTATTGACATTTGCTTATCATATTTCTGTGCAATTCTGTTTCTGAAAAAATATGTTTTTAGTGTTACTTGAACCCACTTAAATATTAAAACGATTTGTTACTGTACGCTTACTAGTTTGAAACTCTACTAGTATAAAAAGCGGCATACCTTAATTCAGTATCATAGTAATCATCTACAATGCGGATTAAATTTCGGAACATACTTTTATTACTGTCTGTAGCAATTGTTTACGTCGTTGCAGATGATTTTAAAGAAGAAATATTCATTAAGCCTTTACCGCCGACTAATCTTTACGTTTTTTTCCAATTTATTACTCAAAATGAGGAAACATCATGTATGAATTTAATTAAATATTTATCTTATCTAGATACTTGTATTTAGTTGTTTAGTAAATTAAATGTTTTTAAATTTTCAGTTGAACATTCCCACTTAGCGCCACGATCCCTAGGCGAAATTATGTCTCGTTACGAAGTTGATGAGCTACATCTAACATTGACAGAAGGCCAATGGAGACACAATAAATGGGGCTATCCTATTTTAGATGCATCTTCTGGTGCAGAGCTTTACGCGTGGTTTTCGCCCACTGTCACTGATGTTGACACTCAATGGAGGAAGTTGAGTGCTACTCTTTCTGGACTATTTTGTGCTTCGCTCAACTTTATTGATAATTTTAATACTGTAACACCACAGATGGCCATGTGGCCTATGGGGGCAATAAAAGCCAATAAGAATGTTACATCACAACTAAGATATGCTACATTGCCAAGAGAAATAGTTTGCACAGAAAATTTGACACCATGGAAAAAATTATTACCATGTGAGTCGAGCCATGGATTTGCAACACTGCTTAATTCAAGAATGATTCACAACACTAATTACCATTCCATAGGAGTACATGTTAGAAAAATTTGCAAAGCTGAAGACTGCTCTGAAATAAACCTAGAAATAAAGCAAACTGTTGCTTTAGTGTATGACTTAAAAATTATAAACAGTATAGATTGGTCATTTAGAAAACTGTTTGGTCAAGGTTTACCAGGACCTTGTCCATTGTCGTCATCTAGCAAAATATATGTGGATGTGACCTCAAATGATACATTTCCATTCAAATTAAATCCTTTGCCAGACAATGTTATATTATCAAAAAGAGGAGGCAGTGATACAACATTAGCAATCTATAATATCATACAAACAAATCATATGATAAACATTGGAGCTGAATATGGTACAAAAGATAAAGTTCTGGTAACAATACCACCACCACTAACATTTAACCGATATGTACTTGGTTATGGCAAAGAATTTGGTGGTATAGTTACAGAAATAAAAAACAACTACTGGGCACCAATTGATATTGTTTTATTAGAAAATGCACCCTGGTGGCTGCCTATCCAACTGAGCTCTCTAAGAATCAATGGAGAAGCAAAAAGTAAGCTAGTCAAATCTCTGTACTATTCTCCTGGTAGAAGTCGACAGAAGCCTTATCATCTAGAACTCCTTATGCAATTACCTCCAAAGTCTACCACAACAATAACAATTGATTTTGAATTTGTGTTTTTGAAATGGCAAGAATATCCTCCAGATGCCAATCATGGATTTTATATTGGTTCAGCTTTGATTTCTGCAAATCTACCAACCGCCAGAAATTACACCAGCTTACCTCTTACTGGAAGTACTATTGATTCAGTAATCAATGCATCAAAACCATGTAAGTATTTAAAATTTGCATGTAATTTTTTTTAATTCCTTTTGCATGTAAGTTTTTTGACATTTAATTTCATTTGTTTCAGGGTATCCAGCCATATTTAGAACTAATGGGGCAATGGTTTCATTACCAACTCCTGATTTTAGTATGCCATATAATGTGATATGCCTTGCATGTACAGTTGTAGCTTTGGCCTTTGGTCCTCTACATAATATTTGCACTAAAGAACTTGTACTAAAAGCTGTAGGCAGCCCTATATCTTTACGACAGAAGATAATGAACTTGTTTAAAAGGAAGCAGGATTAGTATTATTGTTATTAGTTGCAATTTACCAAATAATTATTTAATAAACTAATGGTAAGTTTTTAATAATGGTGATTTTATTTCAACCTTCAATAATATTTATTTCTAAATGGTATTTGAGCTTTTTTAAATGATATCTTGCACTGTCTCTATCCAGAAAGCTGGTGACATGCAATGAGCCAAATCGGTAGTCTCTGCTACTTAGTGTACCCTGCTGGTTTGGGGATATTAATATTTTGCTAGTGTATTGTTTAGTTAATAATTATTCCATAAAACGATACCCAGTATTTGCCAGGCATTATTGCAATTTTTTTATTGAATTAGTCTGATCCCCAAAGGGAAAAACGATCTTCGTTGCTATTTTTAATCTATTGCTAGCAATTTTCAAATTGTCATTGATTGACAGTAATTATCAGTCCTTAGATGTCAAATTAAATAATACATGGGAAATTTGAGAAATTGTATTGTGTTGAATTTGGACTTCCAAAATAATGACTAAAATTAGTCAGGAAATTAGGCAAATATATAGCTAAATACATTTAGTTCACAATGATTCTAGGGTATGTATTATTAAATGTTATATAGGTTCTATTACTATAGATAGAAATTGGATTGAATAGGGTTGGTAAAACTATAGAAATCTAAATACGAGACTATTTCTTACTACCAATAAAAAATGTTTTGAATTTTTTATGAAGGGGGTATTGATTTGGGGACTCAATATTTGTAATTTATTATAAAATCTTGTTTTGCAATTATCCATCCAAGGTTTACGCCTTCCCAGTTTGTATATAATGCAGTCTCGATGCAGGTTTGTGATGATTTTTTATTTCTCATCAAACATTTCAGAAGACAATGCCTTTGTTGTAAAAATTGTACCGAATGTCAGGAGTTTAAGAAAGTTATTTCAGAAACTGGTTTTGAAGTGTACCTATACACACAAGATGCGGATAGTGTGAGTTTATATTTATTACAGCTCAAATTAACAATTGTAAGGGCCATAGACCAAATTTCTGTTCTAATTTTTAATTAAATAACTTAATCAACTTGTTTCTTTTGTGATTTTCAGTATAAAAGAAATTACGATTTGTTAGAACACCAAGGTTTTATTTTTCAAAATACGCAAGATGACACGATAAATTCCAATGAATTTTTGAGAAAAATTGGTAAAGCAATTTTTAAAATCCACGTGTAAAATGAGAAGCACTGGAACTACGCACTAGGAAAAATTTTAGATGCGTTGTCGACTTTGAGTAATATTTTTGTTATATTTAGATGATTTTAAAAAATTTCACTTTCCAGAATCAAGTGATTTTACCTGTCAACGATGTAGAGCTATACTAAAACGACTTGCTAATGTATTTAAAAACACAACTATTAAGAAAAACGAAATAATAGTTATTTGCGACTGTTGTATAAGTGATCAAATAAGTGAAGTGGAACCATGTAAATATTGTCATAATATTTATGATAAATTTAATTTAAATAAATCATTACAAGATAGTTTAACGAAAGAGTACACGGGGAAATGGATCGAGCAAATTCGTCAGATATTGGATAGAAAAAGGTTTTTTGATATAATATTATTCCTCAATGAATATTGTTTTGGTATGGTTAAGGATAAATATTAAATAATGACTTTTTAGTTCTCCGCACCAATTATTAGCTTTACGTCGAAAAGTTCTACGCGGGCCGCATTCACCCGATCTATTATCGCCGCAGAAGCGAGTAAAGTATGAACAACGTGTCAAAGATATCTTTAAAAAGTTCGTTTAATATATATTGGTCATTTACGATTAAATAAAGCAAATTTTATTCTGGTACTTTCTTCAGCAGTGAAGAAGATATAAGTAAAAAGGAGTCAAGTTTATTGTGTTTGTCGCCTGAACGTATTTATGAACAAAAACAAATTACGGAGGTGCCAAAAATGTGAGTCATTCGTATGTAAATGCTCCCATTTTGATTTAAACAAATTTAATACAATTATTTTTAACAGGGACGTTCGAAGTCACTTCGATATAGAAGAAGTGACGAAGGACGAGGGACATTTGTTAGATCCAGAACTTTCTCTCGACGAGTATGGAGAATTTAAATCAATCACGCCCATTATAACAAGATTTTCCAAAGAAGCATTCAAGTATGTTTTTCCTAAAACTGAAACAGATATTAACGATTTGAAAGACTACGCAAGTTCAAGCGAATTGCTAAAAGAAATACAACAGAAAGTGATGTTGTTAAAAACAAGGCAACAGGAGGAATCCGCATCAGGGGAGAAAAAACAAAGGAAGAAGAAATTTTTATCTGTTCGTGTAACTGTAGAGGAAGACATAAAGAAAGAAGAAATTCAAGTTTCGTCTGATACAAGTGTGGTTAAAAGTAAAATTAAACGTGGTAGAATAATTAAGGATAAGGATTCAAAGAAAGACAAAGGCTACGAAAGTTCAGATACTTCATCTAGAACAAGTACGGCCCAACGCATAAGCAAGCGGCCGAAAATCCACCCTGAATCACCGAGTCCAAAAAGGATTGAAAGGGCTGAGAAGACAAAACGTAAACCTGATAAAGAAATTACTTCTGGTAGGTTGGAGAAAAATGTCACAGAACTTAGCAAGAAGGATCGTCAACCTTTTAAAAAAGAGCGGGAAACTGAAATGAAATATGCGGAAATAAAACCAGAAAAGATAAAAAAAGTAGAAGAGAGCGGTGACGGCTTAATCATGGCAGTGAAGAAAGCTTCTAAAGAATTGTCGAAAAAGAAGGAAGAAAAACCAGCCCCTCAGCGGAAACCACAAAAAGAAGATAAAGTAGCTGTAAGCGAATCTTATACTAAGGCCATAAAGGATGCTAAAGATAAGCTAACAGCTCCAAAAGAATCTAAAGTTCCAAAAGAACCTAAGGCTCCAAAAGAAAGCGAGAAAGAAAAAAGAAGTAAATCTGCTTACGCGGAAAATGTAAATGTAAACCAAGTTAAGATTAGGAAAGGTTCTCTTGACGACAATGACTTAGGCTTGCTCAAGTTTAAAGATTCAACGCAACAAGAGAAAGCAAAAAAATTAACGCAATCAGAACTGTATATTTTGCCTCCGCCAGTTCAGCGTCAACCACCTCCCAAAGTTGAAAAAACACCCTCGGATAGCCAAGAAGATTCTGATTTAGACACTGACATTGAAGAGTTATTGAAAAAAAGCAAATTGATCAAAGTTAATGAAATCATAATAGGCCAAAAGATCTTAAAACAAAGACTACATGATAAAAGGGATAAGAGGAAAGAAATTCGACCTTTGTTATTTGAATCTACGTTTTATGTGGTTGATACAGAAGTTAAAAAAGAGGTCATGGATAAGAAAACCTCCATTGATATATGTACAGAAGGTAAAAGGAAAAGAAAAGATGTAAGTATTTTTTTTTTCAATTAAATCTTAATGTTATATTCGCATGATTGATGAGCTCACCGTGTTAATATAATATAGTTTTATGTTTTGAAATTAATTCGCCGAACTACAGCAATATTATGTATAACCACAGAAAATATAATACTATTATTATAGTATTTTAAAAGCATTACTGGCAGGTAACAGCGAAATTGTGACAATGTTTTTCATTGTCAAATTGTCACTTGATGGTTTGTCATAGCAAATGTTCCTACAATTTTATAAATAAATTTATTTAATAGCATGTATTTTGAAGTTAGTTTTGTTTTTATATAGATTGTTAGTTTGTTAATACTACTTACAAATGTCTAAGAAAAAATCTGAATCTGTTACCGTAAGTTTACAATATTGATCATATAAATACGTAAGACTTATGCTGGGTTTCTGAAGTTTCGATTTATTTTATCAATACCTAGTCATTCATAAGTGTTGGGTCATAAGTTTAAATGTAGTAAAACTCAAGTTACGTAAGTCGGAAACGAATTTCATGAAGTTATCGAAGCAAGAATAGTAACGAATAGTTAAATGTACATAGACACGTATATTGTAAAATGGTCAAGACTTTGTACTGTGCGAATTCGCCAGCCTGTTGTTGCGTAGTGCTTCACAGGTTTAAACCTTTTTCAGAGCGACCAAGAAGCTGCCAAAGGCACTGTACGATATGCGTTGTCGAATCGTTCGTTCATTGACAAGGAATGGACCATGCTACCCACCGAGAAAATAGTTCGCAAGGTAATTAGAATATCTTAATGTTAAAAGCCCAATACTTGGCAAACAAAAGGTAATAATCATAGCTGAACTGTGGAATGGTAAAGTTCTCAATTGTTACATTTTTACAGCTTAATACATGATATATTTGTACCCTCTACATTTTTTTCTGTATTAGTTGAACGTCTACCGTATGCGACCTTCGCATCCTGAATTCGACTGGTTCGAGAACAACAAAAGCAAACAGGTGATGTACTACGACACGGGTGAGATTCTCGCTGAGTTCCACGAAGACGGAAGAGGGCGCTGGTATTACAGGAATGGCAGATTAGCGTTGGATTATTATAACGCGGAGGGTAAGCTCAAAGGATGTTTAACAAAAAAATCGTAAATGAAGATAACCAACATGATGACATATGTGTCGTAAAGACGATCGAATTGTAGACAAATCAAATTGTTAATAAAATGTTTACAACGATATCTGTACTTATTCGTCGACTACACTTTGTAGAGATGAACGCTGGTCAGCGATACGTGGTGTACAGTAATGGAGAGCCCGACGATCAAGGTTGCCCTCGACCGATAACCGTACTAGCGACATTCGACTACCTCGGCAACGGCATTGTCTTTGATCACACAGGGAAAACAAGGTAAAATTCAATGCCACAGAGTTTCAAAGCATTATTCATAATTTCAATTATTTTCGTTTACTTTTAAGACTCAAGTACAATCAAACCGAAGGTATCGTGTTAGATAAAAGCATAGGGCCGGTATCACATTGGAAATGGCACGAATTAAACGATCCTCCGATCTTACAAAAAGTTATGTTGGACACACAAATGGCTGTCAAAGATCCGGAAATACTAAAACTAGGAGGCAGGGACACTCAAACTTTGCGACCGGATAACGAAGAAATGCTAGCGATCGAGTTCGATAATTTTATTAAGGAGAAAAGCAAGAAACTAACGCAAAAGTTCAAACCGTTTCAAATAAAAATGAAAGCGTTGAAAGTTAATGAAAACTTTTCGTTGCGAGTACTGGATCAGGCGAGCGTGTACCTTACGTTTAGAGACGGCCCGACAAATATGAAATTGAATTTGGGTATGATTTTGGACCATAAAGAGATAGTGGACACGGATACCGCGGAAGTGGGTGAAGTGTCGTGTAATGTGGAGAAGTTCCCGGCGCGCACGGACAGCCTGGCGATGTTGCAGCGCAGTATTGCGCACGCGCAGCACGTTGAAAGGCTCCGACAGGAGCGAGAACGCCGCTACAAGATCTCTTTGATCAAGACAAGTATAGACAGACTGACGGCGGCCGCGTCCCGACCTCTGCAACCACCTCTTTGCTTTCAACCGACCTCGGGCCGTACTATACCCAAAACTGAATGCTATTGTAAACAAGAAATTGCTCCTCCTTGCACCTAACGTAGCTATCATGTATTTAGTTTTATAATTAATTTTCCAACATTTGTAGTGTCTTACATGCATTTTGATATCTATGAATGTTGAACGTAATTAATGTTAAGGTAATAAAATCATGTCATGAATTTAAAATCATTTTAAATATTTTAGAGTGCAGTTGTATTTATGAATTTGTTTAATATTTTGCTGAAATGTATTTCTTTTTACCTTATTTTGAAATATGTAATGTTAAAATCATGGAAATGTGTTTGTCTACTATTTATAAAAGTTTGATATGAAAATTGAGTATGTTTGTATATTTTTAAGAATTAATTTTTTTTTATGGAAGTCTCATTTTATTTATAATCCATTGTTTACCTATCTTTATATTGTTCAGGAGCCAAGTTATTTCTCACAATAACGTTTTTCAATGAACACTCAAGAAAACTTTTTTATATAATCTAATCATATTATCTAAATAATAAAAATAGTCCATTGATGCGCTCGCGGCAATAAATATTCAAACTTGATAAAAATATGCTTTTATTAACAATATATTATAATGAATATTTTATTGAACCGAACATACAAATTACACGTAATAAGCTTTTATCTAGGGTTATAGAAATAACGTACAAAAGTGTTGTGCTATAGAAGTTGCGTGTCTGCGGCGGTGTGGGGTGTGTGCGGGGTATGGGGTGTGTGCGGGGTGTCGCAGTCGCCGGCGCCGTTGGCGATGACGTCATCGTGTTGCGCGCGCGCCGCCGCCAGCGCTCCCTGGCTCTTGTTGCGTAACTCGAACACTTGCGTGATCGCGTCGCGGAAGCACAAGAAGTTGTAATCTATAACACCTGCATTTACACGGAACATGGGGAAATATATGAGAACCAGGAATAAATTATTCATAGAGGTTACTAAGGAGTAAAGGTGACAATTGAGAAACACTCGCGTCGCCTGACGAAGATCTAGGCTAGATCAAGGGAGGACTATTTTACAATTATCTATTCTAAAGAGGGTGTAGCCTCTCTAGTTCTGCCCATTCTAAGGGCGCGTCATAAAAACTATTAGGTTCAGGAAATAAATAAATATAATTTATACTGAAATCTATGAAAAGATGATAAATACCCTGCTTCTGGAAGTTTTCCTCGCGCAGAATGCAGACGAGCGCGAGGAACTTGTTGACCTCGCGCAGATACAGCACCGTGCCGTTGTTGAGCTTGATCAGGCTGGAGCTTTGACTGTTGAATGTGTTCACTTCAGTTTCATCCACCATACTGTAAAAATAGCAAGCTTAAACATAAAATTCAAACATACTGAGGAACAAATAAAACACATGTTCATTCAAAATCAGTCAAATTATTAGGCACAATGTTAAGCCCGCTACACAAGTTTTATATGAATACTTCGATTATTTAGAAAAATCTAAGATCTACCTAGAATTTTAATTTTGCCAATATACCAACATTTATCTGAATGATCCGACTGTTTAGATAATACTGTCAGATAAATCGGAGCGGGCTTTAATAATAAAGTTAGAAATTAAAATATAGACATACTAGCTTTCGCCCCCGACTCTGTCCTCGTGAAATTAAAAAAAATCCAACCCAGATCCGTTCATCCGTTTAGGATACAAACTCTAACAAACATCTATCCATCCATCTAAATTTTCGCATTTATAATATTAGTAAGAATACATACCCGTATATACATGAGATATCAATGACGACGTCGATCATGTCGCAGCAGAGCTCGTAGCTCTGCATGTCGACGGGCGAGCTGTCCGTCGCTATGTAGATCTTCGACACTACGTCGAACAGGAATGCTTTCTCAATACCAGAGTTCTATAAAAAACAGTCAATACTAAACAAAAGGGAAATTAAAATCCTTTGACAGAATCAATATTTTAAGCAAAATTTCGAAACAGTAGTTAATTTATTTTACTTACAGAAATTAATATATTGAGAAGGTTTTCTAAAGTTGGCAGTTGTGGTATTAACTTTTGAACTACTTTACTGAATGCTTCGAATATAGAGTGATCATATATAGACGTTAGATGGAATGATAAGTGAACATGATCTAAACCGGCTTCAACTAAATCTTCATTCGCACGGTGATGGATGTCCCTTTGAGATTCCATTTTGTAATCGTCATTAAGACCATCAACCTGTAACAAATTATTTAAAACTATATGACAAGTTAAAAAAATCATATGACATTTTAAACATCCTGTAGCTCAATAAAGTTAAATAAAATGGTTAGAAAAATTAGATACTGTACTCACTTTATGAATGAAGACTTCAAACTTAATATTGCTATTTACTCTGTATGCCTTTGTTACTGTGAGCTGCAGTTTCTCCAAAGCATCTTGGTAATCATCCTATAATGTGAATCATACTTATGTTATAAATGTGAAAGTTTAGATGGATGGATGGATGTTACAGCTTGTAGCCTAAATGGCTAAACGGATCTCCATTAAATTCTACACAGATGTAGAGTATAGTCTACAAGATCACATAGGCTACTTTTAATCCCGGAAATAGTTACTGTTCCCCTGGGGTGCATTATGTTCGGTTGATAATTCTGCAACGGTTCAACATATCTTATTGAAATTTGGCACAGGTATAAATCAAAGTCTGAAATACACATGGGTTCATCGTCGAATAATGTCCGCTTCCCGAGGGATACATAGTTTTTGTTGTTTACATAGTTTGTATATTTTCTTATACCAGCTAGTATTAAATATGACATTAAATAAAAGCTAAGTATATATGAATACTAGCAGATTAACATAACTGGTAATAAAATATCAACACTGGCTGATATGAAGCAATATTACAAATATTGCAATTCACATATGATGAACACAGACTGTATAAACATGTAATTATAACATTTGACCTCTTATTGTATAGAATACAGAGTTTTATTACTAAGATGTTGCTGATATTAACTTGTTTTGCATATGCTGCATAATGCTTGTATAAAATAACATATAATGTAGAAATTACAATTAAAATTTTAAATTAGCTAGTTCAGTAAAATGGACAGGTCAAGCGAGACCTGTTTATTTATAGTGTGGAATAGACCATTTGAACCTATTAATAGATCATAACAAACTATCATTTTACAATGTATTTTATTGTATTATGCATGTTGATTTCTACATTAGAGGAAGTGTGAAAGTAGCGGTGGAGAAATTGAGAAGCAAAAGGTTAGCATGGTATGAAAATGTTATGCAATGAAACAATGGGGACATAAACCAGAAAGTGTTAAGATTGAATGTGGATGGGTACAAAGGTAGAGGAAGACCAAAGAAAGTATGGATGGATTGTGTGAAAGAGGATGTGCTTAAGAAAGGAGTGGATTCAGATATGACCGCTGATAGAGATGGAATGAATGAAGGAGTATGGCAGAGCAGCACATACTGTACTGAACCTCCATAAGGTATAAGGGCAAGTGGAAGATGATCTCAATGCCTGTTTTCTTTTAAACACAGCAATTGCAGTTGCTGAGAGATAATTCTATCTTTATTATTAGTTTTAAATCTCATCACTAGGAAAAACCAAACTGACAAATCAAATTGGAACAAAATACTTCGTTTCATAGCCTGTCCATTTATAGAGGTCAGTGAGTATTGAATATTAATTATGAATAAAGTAGTTTGCAAAGTGGCAAATGATATTAATTTTGTTGCTATGCATACATTGTAACAAACTAATCAACTGTTCATATAATTTACATTTTCAAATACCTACATGTTGAATACAGTACACTCACATTGTGATGTACAGTAATGTTGCTGATAAAGGAGTAAAGTGATATTGAGTCATTTGGTAAATAGAAAGTTCTATTTTAAATAAAGAATAATGTTACAAAATAAAAACAATTACTTTTTACAGTTGTTTAATGTCATCTAAAAAGTATCAATTAAAATTTATGCTTAAAATTTTGAGTTAGGAATACTGACACTATACTAGCTTTAGTCTGTGACTTGGTCTTGTTAAAAAAAAAATGCTTTGTTCCAATTTATCACTTATCTCTGTTTCAAATTTACTCTACAGTGAAAGACATCTATCATTCATTAATATAAGTAACAAATTAACCCTTAAATACGTTAAAAAAGGTTCAAACATAATTACCTGGGCATCAATGACAAAAACCAGTGCACCACAGCCTCCAAATATAGTATCAGAATCAAAAGTAGGATCAAAGAAGTCTATTTGTCCAGGAAAGTCCCATATTTGAAACTGAACAAAACTGCTATTGTTGATGTCATCTTTAACTATTTTGTTTGTGGATTCCAAGAACAAGGTTTCATTGGGTGACATTTTATGAAATACAACCTTCTGTATTGATGACTTTCCAGATCTAAAAGAGAAATGTATATGTTTGTTAAAACTATACACTATAAAATTTAATAAACACTAATATGGTCAAAACATTTATACCTTCTTAATCCCATAAGTAAAATTCTTGGTTTATGATCTTCCTGCAATGATGCATTGTCATTCTCCCCATTCTGTTCAAATGGCCCATAGCTGAAGTCCTTAGGAAAGGACCCTACGTAACTGGATTCGTCTTGATAGCTCTGGAACAAAATTAATGGACTGTAACATAATGAACGCCTTCTTTTATACTTGCTAAATGTAGTTAAGTAATTACATACCATTTTGTGATTTTGAGTAAAATGAAAATACAAATTAAATATTTATACGTTGCTTATAAACTACATTTCCTACGACGGTTATTAAACACAATATGTAGAATACATTGGATCAATCTTCTTCAACAAGCTTTTATGACGAAACAAAACTAGTTAGCACAATGTCGAAACGACCACTAATTTTTTTATGGTAATAGTAAATAAAATACTTGTAAATCAAATAACCTATTACTTCTTCTTATTGTATTATGAACCATATCTATTCATTATTATCAGTTTTGTTATTTCTTTTCGATTCGTCATACAATAAAGAAGTTTGAATGAAAATTAAGATTGACAATTAATGACAAAGACAGCAAGAAAAGTTGTCAGACCAAAAAACAATTCAAGATAATTTTGTTGCCACGTTGCTAATTCTCATCGTAAGTTGTCTTTTTCTACAAAATTGCTAACCACTATTTGTTTGGACAAAAAGTAGTAGTTTCATCATGTAAACTAGAAATCATAGTATACAATGATAAGGTTAGTCATGATTTCTAAGCGTTGGGTGAGATTTGAAGAGGAATGTAAAATATTTATGAGATTTGAAGTTTCTTTACTAAACTGCGGAACAAAGGCATGAAACTGTAAATGCATTGACCTATTTACATGAACAGGCTTTAAACCATAAAATTTTGTGCCTATTTGATTGTTTCCATTTTAGCGCTGACGGTTGTGGTTGGTGGCGATGGTCAGTATTTGAATTAATAATAAATACCTATAAAGTTAACTGACAGGAACTTCAAAGGAAACGTTAAATCGGACTAAAGTAATAGCTGGTATTTGTAAGCAATGACCTATCCAATTTTAGGGATCAGTGGACAAACGCAAATGCGCTACCGGATCAAAATCAAAACCGAAATGACGTTTACTTTGACATTCATGTAGTAATTCCATGAGTGCTTTGTCTGTTTTATAGTATTTTGATGTTATTTAATTTAAAATAATAGGAATCAAAAGCTAACTATCAGTGAATTTTAATTAGTATATTAAAAAAGTATCTATTAAACATTAGCTACAGTTATAAGAGACAAGAAGCCTTTGGGATATTGTAAGTATTTGTTTTTTCAAAATAATTTACGAAATTCTATGATTTATATTTATAGGTCAGTAATGCTTTTATATTACTCTTATTTATTACAGTTTATGTATACCTAAATATATATCTATACCTATACAAATTTGAAGCGAATGAAAAAAAAACATTTTCTTTGTTATGTTTTCAGCAATCAGTTTTTCATTTTCGCAAGTAAAGAAAATATGTCGTATTTTTAATTTGTCTGTTATAGTAGTATATCAGTGATTTTGTTATAGGTTAGCCTTGTATATAGAATTTTTCTAAATAAAAATTGATTTTGTGAGTAAACAAAAACAATTTTAAACCTACTTTCTTCATTCACATTCAAAAGTTTTTGAGCAAATTATATTTATTATAACATGTACCCGTAATTGTTTAAAAAAATCATTATTGAGCAAGGTCAGGCATTAAAACTGGGGCACAGACCTCACTACAAGTGTACAAAAAGAAGTACAAAAAAATTGTTAGTGAATGCAAGAATGTTCTAGTTAATGTTTAATTTTATACTTTCTCTTGTTAGACATGACACAAAGCAACCTGCATAACAAATAACATGGTCATGTGATAGATTAATTAAATGTAGATATTAAAAAAGTAATCATTAAAATAATTATCCTATAACAGCAAACTTATTGAGGTAGAAGACAAGACAGTCAAGATGTATATTTTTTTTCAATATCAAAATTAAGTATTGTTTATGTGTGTTTACTTTTTAAACTATACTAGCTTTTGTCCAAGACTCCGTCCAAATATAATGAAAATATAACAAAAGTCTATCTGTTCTTCCAGATTATGTTCGACATATACATCAAATTTTGTAAGATCCATTCAGCAATTTAGGTTAAAAATTTTAACAAACCTCCATTCATTCATCCTAACTTTTGCATTTGTATATATTAGATTTTCGTATGTTTTTGGTTCACGCCAAAACTACTGGGCCGATTTTAAAAATTCTTTTACCATTAAAAAGCTATGTTTTCAGTGAGTTACATAGGTTATATTTTGTACTATTTTCTAATTTCACACGGGCGTAATTGTAGTTAACATACTTATGCATTGCCTTTATGTAACAAGAAATTCAATAATACCTCCCATGCAGACAAGATAAGCCTACATTTTATTTGGTTCTTGGTTTTTAATACATTTTCCTTTGTATTAGAAATATGCTTATCTTTACAACTTAATCACCAAACTTCCTGGTTAACAATACATGCATAGATTTGTATCACATTTGTTATCATTTGACATTGAAAATATTTACACAGAGAGAGGATATCAGTGTGAACTACATAGACCAGTTTGGTCAGTATACATCTATGTAAATTCATCTACAATAATACTTGGGTTTGTAAGTTTGTGGTAAATTGGCAGCTGACCTTATACTCTGTGTCTATTGTTAGCATAGAATAAATCTATTTATGTTGTATCTTTTTAATATTGTTATGCAATATATTTAATAGAAACTAGCTTTTTTCCGCGACTCCGTCCACGTGGAATTGGAAAAAAACAAAAGTGAGTATCCTATGTTTTCCTCCAAACTATTGTCTACATCTGTACCAAATTTCATCAAAATCTGTTCAGCCGTTTAGGCTACAAACTCTAACAAACATCCATCTATCCATTCAACCATTGATCCATCAAAACTTTCGCATTTATAATATTAAGTATGATGTAAAAAAGTAAGGATTTTTTAATAACTATCTTCAACACATTGTATTATGTACTGTCAGGTACCAAACATAATCTTTTTTAATAGTACAGTATTATATTAGTGTAGTATTATATTATCTGTAGTACAATGTATTTTCTATGAGCAAATAGATAAACAACAGAACAATAAATTGTACTACAATTTGAATTTCAGATTACTTACATCTTATCTGTGTAATTTATCAAGTTGTTTTTTAATGTTACTTTTTTTTATTACCAAGAATAATATAAATTCGCCTAGATCATTTCAGTCACGTTGTAATTAGGTATTATTGAATATTCTCAGAATTTTCAAGAAGGCTAAATTTATTTGATGCAGTTAAAAAACACCAGTAATTTCTCATTGTTTTCGCAAATGCATAAAAACGTGTAAATATGCATAGTATAAAGTGTTGTATATAAAATAAAAATGAAGTGTTATTAAGGTATATGATCTAATCAATATAAGAATAATAAATAATCATGATTATTTAAAACCTTCCGACTTGTCGGTGGAGTAATTCCAGCTTTCACTGAACTAGGTTTTCTCTTTACTTCCTGACACACTTTAATTAAGTTCCTCTATTTATCAAAAAAAAATATTAATATTCAAATTTTGTTTTTAAATGAAATATATTTTCCGATAATTCCGCATTCAAATGTTATCGTAAGAATGCGCATTAATAGAAGGCCATCGGGACGATAACATTTGTTTACGCGCACACGCATCTAGCTTTCGACGCAGATGCCTAGGCAATTGTGACCTTTAGTTAATCGTTTTACGGTTCAAAGCATTTCGTTGTCTGTGCATTGGTAATTTAAGAGTAACCTTGATGTCTTAAATAATACGCAACAGGCTACGTCACGACACACCCATCGGCAGACAAATAAGGCGGCTGTGCATATATACTAACACGTATTTAATTTCGTATAAATACTATTTGTAAAGCAAATTAATCTTTAAATTGAAGGACTGGTTTAGTGACATTTAGATTTGGATATAAAATTTAAGTCGTAAAGGTTAGCAACAAAAATACATATATGTATTTGTAAATGTTTAGAATATACAATGAAGCCGAATAATTCGCGTAAACTTTACTATTTTTATTCACGGACAAAAGTTAACTTCCGTAACATGTACGCTTCCTTCTTGGGTACTTCTAAGTAATAAGTATTCATTAAAAGTATATCTACAAAAATAAAAACTACTGTAATTTTTTACGCTTAGGGAATAAGGGGTTGATTCGCGACCATGCAATTTAATGGTCACACTTATCCTTAATACTTAGTTGCTTAATATTTATTCTACGAACACTAGTTTTTTTTGTAAAGCATTCATTCAATGCTATCGTCAATGAAAATGCTTACCTAATTGTAAATTTAGACACGCTATTATTTTTTAATGTCATGTTCGCGGTATAACTGGATGTTTCACATTGAAACTGTATGAGTTGCTTAAGAAATCTCGAAACGATGTCTAAAATGTCAGAGGTCTTGTATATAGGCCTTGTTGAGTGGAAGGAAAATATTATGACCTGTTCATCATAATATAATCTTCATCAATGGTAGCGTTATTTGTTTTTAAATTGTCTTTGTTCTTGATATGTAATATGCGATGTGGGGCCAGAATTTTTAAAAAAATCCCTAAAGGCAAGAGACCTTACTAAAATGAATATCAATGTACTAGCTAAACTTTATTATGTTACATAACGCACTCTCGATAATTTACTTGTAATAATTTAAATTAGTATATAACGCGATTAAAAAAAAACATTTATCAGTGTTGACCGATGGTAATATGCGCAGTGTGTCAGCTGTTATCGGGTCACATGTTATGTTAATAATTCGTTTTGTAAACGCAACAACCACTTCCTTATGCCGAACGCACTTTCGCAACGAGGTGGTGCGACATCACGCCACTCCGCGGCCGTAGCAGTCGCGACGATACCACTACCACGTTGAACGTTCGGTCGTTTTGTGGGTGTGTAAACTCGAACGTCACTCGATAATCTGTCGCAACAACTGAGTACGAGATCGCGCCAGTATAGTAACGTATTCAGTACAGTAATCACGCGTCTTTCATTTGCACCGCGAAGTTTTTTACCCAACGAAGAATTAATTGGAAACAAAACTTTTTTACCTTATGACTGTTTGCACTTCACGACATTAAAAACGATTTTAATCCACAACGGTTTTACCTGACTGACTGTTGTTGTACTTTGTGTTAAGTGATCAACATTGATTATTGTTTTCTGGGTATGTAACTTTCTTCACATATGTTTTAATACAATACTCTCTGCTTAACGTTGTATGGATTATGATCGATTAATTACTTGCGATTTTTAACACTATTTTAATGCATGTTTCATGTGACATACTCTAATTAAAATAAAAGATCATTACTAACTTGGTTTAATTTTAAAAAGTTAGTTTAAGATAATCTATCCTCATTTCACTTAGCATATTTGGTCCTGCCTCAAGAATGAACCGATACATCATTATAATATGCATCTTGTATATTTATTTATACATTGTGTATTTTTTACATTTATTTCCTATTTGAAAACAACATGTTTTATGACTTTGTACAGTAAATATTTATTGTTTTCGGTGACTTAACACGCACCATGTTAAGTGCGCGGTGGAAATTATTGTGCAGCAAATAAACAAGAAAATAGATAAACACCATAGTCGTACGTCATTTGTTTTTGTTATTACTGACAAATGAATCAAATGATGGCGCATTTCCAACTAACACTTGAATGGCATGTAAGAAATGTAGGTACTTGCCTTTTATGACTTTGATTGCTCTTACGTGATTAGGAAACCCAGAATAAATAATGAGAAATATCTTTACGCTGTTCTATAAATAATTTAATTAATAATTTCGTTGTGTAACTTGATTCTGTTATGGATTCTAATTCAATTAGTATTAGGTTGATATTATACATTGTATAACCGTGATTTAATATTGTATTGCTATAATCATGTTAGCATGTACTTAACATATACTTACGCTAAGTAAAATTTTTTTATATTACAACTGAAAAATCTACGTAACGTAATTTTTCTGTGAACAATAACTACATCTCGTATTGTTACTATCTCGTTACTAATAGTTTCTCTTAGTAAATATCAAACATTAATCAAAACGCAGTCATCGTGTTTTCCATTATATAGAAACAAAGAGTAGACGTTCTGTGCTGTATCTCTGATATGATAATTTATTCTATTTGAAAATATTTAGTTTTGATATTTGAATAATAGCGACACGCATAGAGCAATTCATATTCAATTATATTAATCATCTACACGAGATATTGTATGTTTATATCATTAGGCCGAAGTGCACAGTAATGAGATGCCTACGAGCAATTGCATCCGGCTCTGTCCTTATACATCGATCATTACAATCCCATTGCTAGCTAGGTTAGGTTAAATGTATATTAAAGCTTATACGACTTCCCAACCTTAGGTGTCATGAATAAGTAATTACCCAGCTATTCATCTTCTGACGTTATTGGATTTTGTTTGGGATAAATGACATTTTCCTATTACAATATTATTGTTCAAATAACAAAAACATCATTCATGTCTGTATCTTTCTTTGCACACAATACAACTTTGTAATCGACGAAACATAACTCTTCTCTGATTATACATTGATTTGTTTTTCTCTTTACCGTGGGTTTCTATTGTGCACCTGTACAGAAATATTTTTGTATCCCTTTCATTGTCTTTGAAAAAACAGAGATAACATTATGTTTTGATACAGCTGTTGGCAGCCGAAGGTGGAGACCCGCGGTTAACGAGATTATTTGAGTAATGTTTCTAGAACACATAAAATTTGTAAATACTAACGTTCGAGATTAAATCGGCGCAACGGTCGGTTTTGTAATATGCGTGTAGTCGACACCTTCAAGGCTACAATGTTGTTATCATTCGGTTGACACGTCGGCTGGTCGATTTATGTTATTTGTTCACAACAAAGAAACAGTAGTCGGACGGTTCATACACGTCTTTGTGGCACATCGTTGATTTAGAATCGCACATGGTTTGACCCTTATTTGTCTGAACTATAAAAGACCTTATTTTAATTCAATTTTTTATTTATAACCTAATATGATTCCGTATTGGTATCGAATGAAAGTTGGTTAACGTATTTTCACAGCCTAATTAGCTGAAAAAATATGTCCGGGCACCTTTTTTTACATAGTATCGTTTATAAAACCCTTATCTCGATACATTACGATACCAGTCTACGAGGGAGGTTCGCGAATATTTATTTAATTGGTAAATTCTTTAAATCATTTGGCCACAACCCAATAAAATGTGGGTCGTTTTTTTACGTGAATTATGAAGTGAAGGTCAACTTAGTCGTCCAATGGCAACTGCTAGACATTTTTATCTCTAAAAATTTTTTTTTCTGAAAACCATTATGTTTTCTGTATTCAGCATCTCTACTAAAGCTAATGTAAAATGAACCAAAAAAAAATATATAATAAAACTAGTTTTAAGACAGTTTCTGATTTTTGCCTTAATTTTAAGTCATGTTCTAATCTATTTCTACCGGTAATGAGCAAACGATAGTATAGTATGTTGTATTGTGTTCTTGTATATTTTGTTTGATCTCTGACACATAACACATTGAACTTGAAATCCTTGGAGACTAAAATAAAATTTGGCACTTGAAGCGTTTGACGCATGTGCCAGGGACACCTGCCCTTCCCAACTCTCTTGTGAATGAAGACCGATGTTTTGCAGTAAAATATGCATATATATTATGCATCGATTATGATTTCCTTTCACACCTTGATAGACGTCATTTCCACGCGGTATCTGGGTACTGTTTATAGAAACAGCTATCGAGAAGTCGTGCATTTTTTGACCGACTTCCTAAAAGAAGGAGGTACTCAATTCGTCTGTATGTTTTTTTTTGTGACTATCTAACGACACCTGTACTTTCTTGCATTTTATTGCAATGCTAATGAAGACGTCGACTTCATTCACTTACAGCCTGTTACATCATGCATTTCGATTGTTATATTGTTTTCAATACCTATGAGTCGTAACAGGTAATTGTATAAAAAGTATATAGAACTTATCTGTTAGCTATTCTTGTCAATTAGTCATTACCCGAGTTACACGTATTCCTGTCGAGACCGGCGGCGCTGCGGGGGCAGAGTCCGCTTTTCGCGACAATCGGCACGCATGTCTCTGCCACGTGCTTTTACAAATGATATTCACACATTTACATATCTATTGTATCTATGCATTCAATATTTTTGCTTATATTTAAAGAAAGTTCCCAAACCAACATGTTGCAATTTTTACAACTCTGTGATACCTTTTTTAATTTAGTTACCGTTGTCTAATTTGAAGGGAATGTATGCGCTGATTTGTAATCAAGTTGCGTTCAATTGCAGTTGTAATTAATTCCAACGCCACTACAACTATGATTTCAGTCAGTATAACCTCAATTTGAACGATGTGCGCACGATAGTTTCATTACTAATTGAGGTTTTTACGTCGGGGTCGGCAGTCGAGTGCTATTCGCGGTTGCATCTCGCACGATGCGTGCAACGTTGTGTAACAACATCCTGTATATGTTGCCTGATACGCCGAGTGCAATGACTCGACTCCATTCCTCGCCAGTGATTTGTTTGGAAATATTTTAAATAGTTTTGGTATACGTCGAAGGGGAAATAAGTGATACATTGAACAGATGGTGTAAAAATCTGATTATAATTATTTTGAAAGCACTTTACAACGGTAGTTTCAGGTGTTAATATTTTTTTAGAGCGGGCTCACATCTTTGATTAAACTATCGCACCTGTTGTGCTGTTGTCGATTGTTTCGCAGCAATTTCAACTATTTATTTGCACAAATAAAAGTCGAGTAGTGTGCGCATCTTCATATATGATATGCTCATAGGAATCAAAGCGCTACTAAACAGTTGTGCGTTAGTTTATTCAAAGGTGTGCGCGCGCTCTTAAGCAAGTGGGATGTCACACAAAGAATTTGGAGCATTGGACGCACATTTTACAGTCGTATGTTAACCGAGAGATTATATTGCTCGCAGATATTGCATTGCGTCCATGACCGAACTGCAAGTTATAACTGCACTACGACTACCGCGATAATGAACTTTGTTAAGGTTGTCTGAAATTTTTTATTGTTGTATATTTCTGACATTTTTGATAAAATAGGTAAAGTAGGCCATGCTTATAAATAGTACTGGTATGGTCTCATACTTTTATCTATATTTAATTTTATTCAATAATTGATAACGCCATAACAGTACAAACCACATAAAATAATAGTTAAAAGTGTAGAAAAAAATGTAACTTTTATGCAATACCACATAACATTATTGAGCAACTGTGGAGTAATTTATTGGGCCAGTGCCTCACAAAAAAATAGGTATGGCAAAGATCTTTAACAAAGTATTTACTACGTGTTGAATATGATGTTTTGTTATCAATTTTATAGTGTTTAGGAAAACGCGCAAGCAACATAACGTACATTATTCTGTTATCAAATCTTTGTGCGTAATTCGTTACGTCTCGCAGGAAATATTGACCTTATTCCGTGATACGGTCATGACAGATAACAATTTATAACTATTTGATAAAGATTTCATTACATAAATATTTTTAAATATAAAATTGTAATTGATTAGTTAAGAATTTTCGATAAGCCTGTTATCGCCTATTTTAGATAAGGTTTAATGTATGTTTTGTATAGGAATTTTAATGTAATTTATATAAGCTGGCACATTTAACAAAATACAGATAGATAAAGATCGCTGTAGGAATATTTTTTTAAATCAATTCTTGCTTTCTAGTGATATTTTTAAGTTACCTAATCTTGTAGGACCACCATTGCCATATTATCGTCAAATTATGCAGAAACTTATCTATAAGCGAAAATAATACGAATATTTGCAACTCATGCTTTACATAGTAATTTCTTTGTTTCAGGAGTTTTAATATCTTCAACTTCAAGCAAGCATACATTATGGGGTAATCGGTGAGACGGACAAAAAGAAACATTGTATTTGAGTGTAATTTAAGTGATAGTGGTAGATTGTTTATTGTGTATGCGAGTGTAGACAATCAGCGCCATGTATTCTATGAACTATATCGGTAAGTTCATTGCGAACTTCCGCGATTTCTACAACGAGATAAACAGCGCGACGCTGACGGGCGCCATCGATGTCGTGGTTGTGGAGCAGCCCGATGGCAGCTTCACTTGCTCCCCATTCCACGTGCGCTTCGGCAAGCTGGGGGTGCTGCGATCCAGGTTTAAAGTCGTAAGTATATCTGTTTAACTTAGAACTAGATCCTACGAAGACCCTTTTTACAGGACAGGAGGGTAAAGTAACCATGGATATGCTGAAAATCCGTTCCATAGATTCGATCGTATTGAAAACCGGATACATTTTGCAAAAATAAAAGCAGATATCTGGTTATTAGAGCTTTTGAAAATAATAACGACTTAGAAACGATCGTTAGGTCGGCAAAAAAAAGATTGGTATATACACTTTTTGCATATGTTTCATACATCACTGTCCACTGATTAACGTGCAATAAAAACAGGTTGCCATTCGCCGCTAATGAACTGTTCACATATCTTTGTCGTATACACTCAAGTAATGCTAAGTGTTACGTAATCATCAGCGAGAGAAGATTTATAGTTATTGTAAAAAACTTTATTTGTATTACACGTTTTTTGTTCGTAGACAAAAAGTACGTTTACGTCCATATTTAAAATACCTGTTGCTCGCAACTTCGTCCGCGCATATTTAAAAAATAATATAATCTATGCTACTTTCTGGTAACGTAGCTTTATATTGGTGAAAGAGTTTTTGAAATTGGACCAGTAGTTTTTGATTTATTTCAATACAGACATAAATCCAAAAATACAAATAATTCCTCTTTATAACATTAGTATAGATTAAATTTTTATATGAAGAATAAGATTTAATTTGTAATCACTGCGTTAAAACTCATTTATTTTAATTTAATTTCTATTGAATCCGACTAGTTATAAATGTTTCATAAACTCGGTATATTTTAATTACTAATACATTTAGAAACACAACGGCGAAATATTGAAATACCTGATAATTAAATAAGACATCACATCACATCTTTATATTAAAGTTGGTGATGGGATCACATTCACTTGTTTCCAGATAAGTGCTGATGAATAATGGATTAAGAAAAGATGCATTGTCTTTACTTCCGACCACACATTAAGGTTACACGCTCATTGACCCAATGTATTTATTTACCGTTTTATAAAGTTATTATCTTTAAATCTAATACAAAAATTGACTTTATAATAACTTTGCTGTTAGTCAGAATATGACGTTGTTAATTAATTTGATGTTTTCATAAAAGTCTGTTTATGATTGCAATCTTTGTCTGTGAATAACCTTTGATGAGAATTACATACTAATTCTTTCGGGTAAATGTTATTGTCTCTTTACAAATTGTAAATTTAATGTATCAATTTGGCTTTATCTTACATATACAGGAAAGGTTCAGTGATCGTTCTCTTTGTTAATAAAGATATTAGTAAAATTCACACAGATGTGATAAAATGACAAAGGCGGTTCAAACGTTGAATTTATTTAATTTATACATTTATATATTTTTTGCATTATCATGCTACAATTCAATTTCTGAATAATAGGGTTTATAAATGGTCACGTTAGTAGGCACGTGTAAAATGGAAGATTTTGATAACTCCATACCTTAATAATATATTGTTATATCACCATAAAGTCTTTTAAAATAATATGTAAAACAGTGAAACTATCTACAGCAAATAATTTGACGACGGGCATTCATTGTCAATGTCCGACATACATATAAATAGACCAGGAACCGACCTCACGAGGGCGCGCCGTCGCGTCGCTTTGTCGGGGACGTGGATTTTTGCAAACATTAATTTTCTGATCGAATTGGCCGATTCTAAACGCTTCAAACAATTCAGTTAAAAGTACATCAATTAAATTAAATAAACCTTATCAATGTTAAGTAATGAGGCAGGTTTGTTTAGTTTGAGTACTCTTAAATAAATCCTTGATTCGAATGCCAATGTGAATGAACAATATAAGTAAATCGTCCCTCGGCAACAAGAAATTATTGTCATAAACATTTGTTCTAATAGCAGAAATATGTAAAACTAAAAGTATAGAAATACTATAACTTGCTTTCCGTAGTTGAAATATGTCGATAGCTAAAAGATGTCGACGAGACGAGATTATCGATTTCGTAAATTGCACACATACATATAAATGAAGCGTGTGTAACCGATTGCGATATTAAGCATTCCGACGTGTACGTAATATGGCGTACGAGATAGGATCTGAGACTAGGCGAAATGGAGACGATACGCATCGCCGGAACCATACGTGTCTAGAATGTTCTCAAGTGAAAGAGTTATCTTGCTAACTTGGAGTCTGGTTTAAGTAATACACATTTCTATTTTATTTAATCTATGTCGCTTAGATTTAGCTACAGAAAGTAGAAGGTAAAAGGAGAAATATTCGTATAGGTGTTTACAAGTTTGTTTATAAATGCAAATGTATTTATGTTTTTTTTTGTAGCTTAAAATTTTAGATGCCAAGGTTGTAGACTCTATGTAATTAGATGTATTGTACTAACTTTTGGCGCGAAAACGATTGCCAAAACGGAATAGCAAAACTGCGTCCAATACTTCGCGACGAGCAAATTGGAACGATGCCTAAAAAAATTGGCACAAATATTTCTCATCTTGTTTTTTTAGTCCAGCGTTTCTTCTCCTTTCTTAAGTGCACAATATTATTATTAATGAAACTTTTTTAAACTTGAATTTGATAAAACATCTATGAATGTTGTAACATAAATAATTTTACAACATTCATAGATGATTAAAAATAATTTTAAATCTCGCCTGCCTTGTAAATGTTTTGCAATTTTTTATAAATCTGTGTGTCCATAGATTGTATTTTGATTTAGTAAAACTGGTTGAACTCAAATATTTCTCCGGATGCACTCTTTTCAGTATCAATTATAATGCAATGTGTGGTTATTTTTCGCAGGTCGATTTAGAATTAAACGGTGAACAACTGAACATACACATGAAGCTCGGTGAATCTGGCGAGGCATTCTTTGTGGAAGAGGTTGGAGAAGATGAGGCGGAGTGTTCAGCGCACCTCGCCACCTCACCCATACCAGCTTCGCGCTTTGACGACCTCTACGAGCCTCGCCGCAGGAACTCGCTCTCTGCTGTCGAGCCTGACCACGGACAGGCCTCCGACTACACGAAGCGAAGGTAAGATATTCAAGAGTCGAAAAAGATTAGCCTAAGCGCTTACAGCCTTGTACATATTAAACTCAGGCGTATGTGCTACCCAGGATATACTCTCAGAACAGTTTGACAGAGTTAAATTACTACAAAAACTAAATTAGAAAACAAGCTTCTCTACTAAAGGGCTATATGTTTAACCTAGCTTGACATCGTGACAAAAAAACGGATCGCTTCATTGTTTCAATGAGACAAAACAGCCATTGATTACGTTACTTCCTACTTAGCTCTTGAAACTAGAAAGTGAATCGGATTGCATGCAGCGACAACTGCTGGCGTTTAAATTTACATGAACAATGTGAATTGTGTAAACACTGTGACATTTTGTCGAAATCGATGATATCGAGACGTTTCCCCATTGTTATTCGGGGGCTATACTTGAGGGAACGACCTATTAAAAAGTTTATTAAGAATTTATTTAGACTTACATTCTTTAAAATTGCTATTTTTATTTGTTTAGATACACAGCTGATGGACAAACTATGCAGAAACCTAATTTAAGTAAGCTTAAACCCAAAGATGATCAAGAAAAGAAAGATGACAATGAAAATGAAGCTCTATTTGAAATGGAGGGCTTGGACGAGGTGTCAGTGGATTGGATTGACGCAAAGCCTAAGACATTCGCAGCGACAAAACTCGGAGAAGCACAAAGCGAAGCGAACCAGGTGGTACAAAAGATAAGTGCTAACAACGACTTCCGTCCTATCGACGCGGCGCCGGCTAATCAAGAAGAAGTAAAGCAGAACGGCAACGGAAAGAAGAAGAAGAAAACGAGGAAGGTCAGCACAAAGAAGAAGCACCAAAGAAAATCATCGACAAGTTCAGTTTCGAGTCAATCTGATCTCGCGAGTTCGGAGCCGCGCAGCTCTCAGCCCGCATCGATTCAGAATAACGCCGATATTAACTTCTTCAGTGATACCGAAGCGAATGCAGCTGCACTCAGGTGAGTTTTTTTGCATGGGCACAAAGTTTTTAAAGTTTGTGTTGGGCGTTTGTTGATTGAATTGGGGTTGATTGCAGCGAAGAGATGTCGAATTTGAAGTTAAATGGAGACAACCGTATCCCGCTGGCGTTGTCAGATACTGCGTTCGAGGTCCACGCAGCCTCCAGACATGCGTAAACATTGTTCTATCATAACCACTTGCCTCGCTTGCTATCACTATCACATTGTATTTAAACTATGTAAAGGTATACTTGGATTTGGAAAGCTTTCATTCAATCCCTATTGGATCATTGAGTATGTTTGATGTATTTAGAAAATATTTGCTACTCACCATAATGTACAAGCAAGTAATTGGATACTCTCTTTGATACTGTAGTTATCGCGCTAATTCAAGTAATATGTTGCTTTACATAATCAAGAAACGTAATATTCAAATCAAGTTGTTTTAAATGGTTTTAGGCTATTTTAGGTAAAAAGGTATTTTTCTAAAAACTGAATAATTTTAGCAGCTATAGCTTGTGTATACTCTTATCTTAGCACTAACTTTGCACTTATTGCACAATGACTATAATATATGTAAATTATCAGGATATTGCCTTTGATGAACAGATACTTTTTATATATCTTTACTTCAACATCTACTATCAATATAAAGTAAAAAATATTAAATTTTAAAATGGTATTGTCAAGTTTGTATTTATAATTAAAATTAAATTATCTTCAAGTAGTTATGAACAACTTAAGGAAATCCTCCATAAATGTTTCAATAATATAACCAGGAAGGCTAATACGTGCAAAAAATTAGTTAGTATTCTGTAAGTTCTTTTGTTAATTATTGTAATAACGCACAATACGTTGTGTGTAGCAAGGGGTCACGGAGCGGCACGCCAGTACAGTCTGACACCGAAGTGGAACTGTCAAGGGCGACATCAGGCGACAAGTCGTCACAATCCTGGCGGTGGGGGGAACTTCCCGAGCCACCACTAAGAGGAGCATGCGCTGAATCCCCTGAATCCTCTGCATCACCAGCCTCTCCAGCATCTCCCGCCTCGCACGCTGAACCTCTCAGCTCTGATGAAGAGCGGCCCGGGAGACGAGGTGTACTGAGCGGCATGTTCCGCTTCATGTCAACTAAAGACGCGAATGAAGCGACCACAGAGGGCGTGTATCTTGACGATCTGGATCGCGGACAAGTCGACCCCGACCTCTACTTCCCTAAGCATCACACGGAAAGATATCGCTCAGGTAAAATACTACTTTTATTCACTGTAAAACGGTCTTTATCGCATTGTTAGATTTATCCTACATAGTCTTTGAAGCGAAGTAATTAAGGTAAACTAGAAAATCTAAATAGCGGGAGGGAAAATGAAAATGAAATACCTACTGAGAAATCTACAATTCAGTCATATTTTTAATATTTCTTTGTGATTAATGTCAAATGAATTATTTAGTACCGTGTATTTATCAAAAGTAGGATATGTTAGCGATTATCAGTGTTTTAGTCATATTTGACTCATTATTTTTTAAAAAGTAAACCGGATGTTGTAACAATTGCGATTCAACTGTGATTGGTGTTTTTTTAAGCAAATCGTCATATTTATTTTAATCAAAGAAATAAAAAGAACTGAATCCAGACATGAACGGTCATGAATGTAGATATATTTATAATTAACTATTTATTTTTACGTTGTTGTTTTATGTAATTGTAGAGAAGTGTTACTTTAAGGGTCATGTAAAAACAGTCGACTTCGCCATTTAAAGTTCAATGGTCGCTCCACCTGCCTTGCTAAATGTCAATTTATATTCGATTTTAGTAACGTTTTAATTAATAACTTGATGTGCTTGTTCATGACCTAATACGACCTTTTCAATCAGTAGTAAAACATCCCTGGAAGTGTATTATATGCATTAATAAGAAATCGTTATGAGGAAGGAAAATGTTATTAACAATTCTGCGATCTTAAGAATACTTCTGTGTATCTTTGTACATTTTGTTTTATAGAGATATCCACAGATGTACTATCATAGACGAAACATTTGAAACACAAGATACTTGTAAATAAAGTATTTTAGATACATTGTATCTGTATTTCAAATACGTGTATCAACGTATCTAGATAAAACAGAGCTCTAGAAATTACAAGATACAAACTTTATAGTCATGCTTGGCTATGAATCTCATTAACTTTCATTAATACCTATAATTGGTATTTATAGGTCGAAATGATTAATTGTTTGTCGTTTGCAGTTGTTGGCGGAGCTCCCCAGACCGGAGGTCCGACAGAGGAGGAATATGAATCAGGGAATGGACCTTCACTGCCGCAGTCTCCGACTTCTCTAGAACCGCCAGCTATCGACTCTGATGATGACGACAAGATACTGAGCAAGTAAGTTAAAAAAAATAGGCATAGAATTTAAAAAACAAAAGTCTTATGTGTTCTTCCACACTATCCTCTACATCTATACCACATTTCATCGAGATCTGTCCAACCGTTTAGGCTACAAACTCTAACAAACATCCATCCATCTAATCTTTCGCATTTATAATATTAGGCTAAAATGTAAGAGAAAAATTAGGTCCGTATGTGTTTTCATCGTTCATGAATAATTAAAACTATGGTACTGATAAAAGTAAGCATGTATTCATCTAGCTGTTGCTCGCGACTTAGCCGGCGTGAAAAAAAAAATATAGCCCGTGTTACTTACTGATAACGTAGCTTTATAATGGTAAAGTTTTTTTTAATCGCCTCAGTAGTTTTTGAGTTATGTCAATATATACAAAAATACAAATCTTTCCTCTTTATAATGTTAGTATCGATAAATTTATATAAAGTACATAATTCGAAGATCGTATGGTAGTCATACATGGGTCGTTAGTAACGCGGGTTGTATGACTCAGCGCAATGCATCGTATTACACTGATGTGAAATTGTGCATTCGTGATTCTCACACGTTGCAATTGACGTCATCGCTACTGAAGTGTAATAAAATGGACAAATTGTAAACAATATTTTATTGCAGTGTAACAATCGATGCAACCCATGTTAATATAATTCTTCAACAAGAAAACTCAGAATTGTGTAATGATTACATAATTCTAAGTTTGTGTCTTTCTGTGTATGTTTTCTATACTAAATAAACACTATTAGCTTCCTTATGATAACATAACTATGTGTCAACAAGACAAACCAATCAGATACAAAGTATTTGTGACTTTAATGGAAACTATAGTTTAATTCAAAGAAAATAAGATATTTTGTTTATTTATTGCACTGGATAACGATGTCACTTGTTTTTTTAAACGTGGTAGATTTAATTGACAATACAAACAAGTTTTGAATACATGATCGCAGCCTTATAAATGTCAAATTGTTTAAATAGATATTATCTTACTAATATTATAAATGCGTACGTTTAGAGGGCTGGATGGATGTTTGTTAAAGTTTGTAGCTAAAACGGCTGAGCTGATCTCAATGATATTGGACACAGATGTAGAGGATAGTCTAGAAGAACACATAGGCTACCTACCTTTGTTTTTTTTTTTTAATTCTACGCAGATGGCATCGCGGGCGAAAGCTAGTTTATTATAAATTATCATTACCACTAAATACTATCATCATCATCAACTTGCCCTTATCCTTTACGTAGAGTCGTCACAGTATGTTCTGCTCTTCCATACATCTCTATCCGTCATATCTGAATCCACCCCTTTCTTAAGCATATCCTCGTTCACAAAATCCATCCATACTTTCTTCGGTCTTCCTTTTTCTTTGTAATCATCCACATTCAATCTTAACACTTTCTGGTTTCATATTCCAAGCCTTTGTTAAATGTGGGGTGTGTTAGGGGCCAGGTGTCCGTGTACCTGCGCGAGGGCGCGGTGTCCCGCTCGCTGACGTTCGAGGAGTTCTGTGTGCGCGGCGACGCGCTGCTGGCGGAGGGCCGGCTGGAGGTGCGCGTGGGCGAGCGCCGCCTGCCGTGGCGGAGTGCTGGTCTACTCATACTCTCACTCCTCGCGTTCAGACGACCCCTGCCCAAGGTAACCCCTACTGGTACATTACGTACGATAAATCTCTTTGAAGTTCAGTATTATTTAAGTCTTGCCTAATAATTTTCCCTAATAATACATTGTTAGCGACCGAATAGTAAAACGACATTCAGAACAGTACAGTCAAATATGTACCAGCTTTTAAATGATAAGGACAAGTTTTACTAATACATTTATTTTAAAAATACATTGGAGAGCGCAGGAATAGCAAGAGAGACGCAACACAGGAGTAAAAATTCAACTTGTGACGTTATCATATAAAATTATCGTCCGTAAACCAACTTTAAAATCAATTTTTAAAGATGCTTTCACTTTGATTCTTAATATAGATAGATACAACAATGTAGTACGTTGACCTATGTTATCTCTGTATTTATGTTTAAAAAATCAGTCAATTAAAATCTATAAAAATGTGTTAATTGTACCGCATGCTCGTGTTTGCCGCGTGGTACCTTTATCAATGGAGTGAAGAGATCACGATGTTGTCACGCGACCCGAATATAACAAACACCTGTGATAGTATTTAAAATGACAAAATAGCTGATAATGTCGAAGAGATTATATTAACCTAATGCATGGATTATACCCAACCGTCACCCTGCTCTGTCCCCACGTGGGGACAGATGAGAAAAAACGTTTCTTCCGTCCCACCTTTTGCAACGAGCTAACGGTTAGAACTAATTTTCTTTTTTAACGGTTCCTTCTGTCACATTATTTGTAATAGTGGGACAGATGAACCTTTGTGGGGACAGAGCGGGATGAGGGTTGGGAAAAATCCTGTCAAAGTACATCAAAGCATAAAAAAATAGAGAAAAATCTATTATTCCTTCATCTATACCTTCTGCTTCTTTGAGGTTCTCTTGTCAGTTTTTTTCTTCAACTATGAGTTCCCACATCCAGCGTATCTTGGAGGAGCTGGAGAAGGCGGGCGGCGGCGGCGGCGGGGGCGAGGTGGAAGGAGGCGCGCGCGCGGGCGGGGAGAGCGCGGAGGCGGGCGCCAAGCCCCGCTCCTACTCCTGGTGGAGCTGGCGCCGCTCCAACGCTGATGCTAAAAGGTAACAAATCTATGACTATCAGCTTAACTGTTATCTGATAATATTATGGCCGTTTTAATGCCTTCCTTCTCTTTTCTTCCCCCTTAGACAAAGTAACATTCGATTATCGCTATCACTGATCGAAAAATCAAAAATGTATGGAACTGACAATAACGTTTGATGTCACGTGCTTGTGATGTATTCATTATTATGCTTTTTGACACATTTTGTCGATTCTACAAGCGACATCGCTAATCGAAAGTCATTTTGTCTAGGGGGGGAGGATTTTTCTTCTCTTTTTGATCTTCCGTCTCGCTCTAAGTGATAGGATAGATAAAGAAAAAATTAAAGAAAAGCGGAGTATGAATGCTTCCTTTATTTTAAACATGATCTTAGCAAAGTCCAAATAATTCCAGATACATTATTTCTAATTTTAATTTCACTATATCAAGGAGTCTATTGTTTTTTAAATGAAATTATTTATAAATTCTATTTAGTAATTGAAATGTTGCCATCAGTGAAAACGTTTCAATAATGATAAATATCTGTGTTGTTATATTTAAAGTATAGGTTTTTAATATTTATAGTTTTGTGATACTGGCAGTCCTCCAATTCAAATGCCAAATGTTTAGTCATGATACGAACATATTTTTTTAGTTTTTACAGCATTGTCAACGTTTACACAAAAACTAGACACTTTTTATATGTCATGGTTCGTCAATATTTATGTCGAACAAAGAAAAATCATAAATGATAATGTTCTTTTAGGTTTGTAAAAATTGCAAGTAAGGATTATGCAAATAAAAATTATTATCGTAATTTTTAATCAATCGACTAAACAAAGAACAAAAGAAATGTTTTTTAACATTTAATTTTGATATTATCTATGTAAATGTTTCGACTTAATTGACAGTACAGAATATTAGAATCTGAATTACATACTTAAAATAAATAACATTCGATGAATTTCTAATGTAAGTTCTTTTGTGTGTTAGCATATGAACACTACAAAGTTTTGTCTTGTCGACTTACATCTCAGGAAATTAAATTACCAACCAACCAATTTCTCCGAAATCAGTTGACCCATTCTGGTGATATCTTTTAACAAATTCATCCATCCATAAAAAAAAACAAAATTGATTATAAAATAACTGTTCTGTAGAACTGAACCATCACCAGCAAAGGAGGAGATAATCAAAGAGCTGACAGCATCACAAGCAGCGGACACCAAAGAAGTGAAAGTGACCATAAATGAGGACCATGTGGACTCCCCGGCAGAGGAACAGGACAGGGACACCGACGAGACTAACATTAATGACGTCATCGAATCCATAGAGTTGACTCCCACTCAGGATGTCGCTGAAGTGTTGCCAATTGCTAAACAAACACATATTAAAGGTAAGAAATGTAATCGCTTGTTTTTACTTTATATGTATATTGTTGACTTTTCCGCGTATTGTTTCGTTTTTATACTCTGTCTTCCGTGAAAATTTATTATTAAGCTAATCTATATCTTCTATACTATCTATACTAATATTATAAAGGGGGAATTAGGTGTATTTTTATGCATTGAAATAACTCAAAAAGTACTAGGCCGCTTTAAAAATTATGTTCACCATTAAAAAGCTACGTTATCAGTGAGTAACATAAGCTTATTGTTTTCTAATTTCACGCAAGTGAAGTAGTGAGCAACAGCTAGCATATAGTAAACTACAATAAAATGTACTACGAAACTTTCCTTATTAAAATTTTAATTGTACTTTGTGCAAAAAACCAACATTGCATCCACAAAAGTAGATGCAATAATAATTTTATTTATCACGGTGATACCCCAAACCGCGTTGTGGTAAATGTTTTTCATTGAAATACGAGTAACTGTTTTATATGGCTGTTTGTAATTATTGATAATGTTTTATTGTGGTTATTTTCGTTGCAGATGACCAAAGGGAGCAAAGTTCGTCTGATTCGGAACAAGAGAGTCATCAGAAACCTTCCCGACGTCATTCAACGTTCCGAAAAACGCTGCGACTTTCCTCCGACCAAATTGTAATTTTTTTATATTTGTTTTTATAACCTTACTAGCAAAAATAATCTCAATATATAGTGTATACATATTTATCTAATTTATAAATTGAATTGGCGATCGAGTCATCGAAAGTAGTACTTTATGATTATTAGTATTTTTTTTTAATAATAAAACATTTTTTGCAGAAAAAGTTGAACTTACGTGAGGGTATGAACGAGATGGTGTTCAGTGTGACGACGGCGTACCAGGGCACGACGCGCTGCAAGTGCAACGTCTTCCGCTGGCGACATGACGACAAGATTGTCATCTCGGACATCGATGGCACCATCACCAAGTGAGTATGACACACACGTCACAAGGCACACGGCACACTCGTACACGTGCACCTACAGTCGGGGAATCCTGCAGTTTTAAAAGCTACAGTCGTTTGAACTCATTGTTACGATAACTTAGAAAAAAAAACAATAGAAAGCAGTTTTTAAATGTGCCTAAGAAAAATATTGGTTAGTGGTACGTAGTTAATTGTTTTTATCATTCCGTTGTTTGCGTATCTCACCGCTACCTATTGTTATTTGAAAGAAACGGAGTTGGTCTCGTTGCAAGGAACAGAGTAATTTTTCTGTAAATGTAACACTTTGCATTTTTGCGACTGTACATGCGTACACGCGCACCCACTGACACGTTGCATTTTAAACGATGCAAGGCTACCGCTACCAATTATCTAATAAATACTAATAATCAATGGTACTGGTATATTTTTTTAACCACTCCTGAAGGCCAAAGAAAAGATATGGTATTATAAAAAGAAATCGGTATCTTTTTGTATTCATAGTACTTTTACTACCTTTTAATTCGATTATGAGGCGTCATAATATAAATTAAACATGATGTTTGTGTGTAGGTCCGACGTGCTGGGGCACATCTTCCCGCTGGTGGGCAAGGACTGGGCGCAGTCGGGCGTGGCGCAGCTCTTCACCAAGATCAAGAACAACGGCTACCAGCTGCTCTACCTCTCCGCCAGGGCCATCGGACAGGCCAGGGTGAGCGCCGCCTTCACATTATACCTCGATATCTGTTTATAATAATTTCATTTTATTGTTTACATCCCGTTGTAATGACAATCATGCTTAATTCCTAATGGCTTGCAGTTTTTGTCTCTTTCTAGCATACTGTTTTGTCCAATTTATTCAACGCCAAAATTATATAGCCTAGATAGACTCTGAATGTAGGGGTTTTTGATTAAAAAATTATTCATAAATTTATTAAATTAGTATTTTTAAACAATTTATATAATTGTAACTAGCGATATTAAAACATTTAGAACTAAAGATCCCGCCAGGATGGCGCGCTATTTCAATACGTCTAATGACATTTGACAGCTGTCAGATAGGGATGGGACGTGTACGCCGATAATCTAGTGTTGCGCTAATCCTACAGCGCAGTACTAATTGAACGACTTCCTACTCAATTCGTCTGTATGTTTTTTAGGACCGATTTTAATAATTCTTTTTTTGTTATATGTAAATGATCGATTTTTGTTAATTAAATAAAAATTATTCGTATGTTATCAGGTGACGCGGGAGTACCTGCGGTCTATCCGGCAGGGCGAGGTGTGCTTGCCGGACGGGCCGCTGCTGCTGAACCCCACGTCGCTGCTGCGCGCCTTCCACCGCGAGGTCATCGAGAAGAAGCCCGAGGAGTTCAAGATCCAGTGCCTCGCTGACATCAAGGCGCTCTTCCCACACAACTCTAACCCCTTCTACGCTGGCTACGGGAACAGGGTTAATGTGAGTCGCACTATTTACATACTTGATTTTACTCGTGACTTTGTCCGTTAAAGAAAACAAAATAGCCCATGACATCTACGAGGTTATATTCTACATCCGTGTAGAGTTTAATTGATAAGCTGTTTTGGAGATTTTTAGTAACAAACATCCAAATATACTTTCGCCTTTATAATATTAGTATGAAGTTTGATAATTATTATATACTTTAACTTTTTTTTAATGTTTGAATCTGTGTTGCACAGAAATGTTCTATGTAAAAGAAATCTGAGTAATTAAGATAACTTGCATATTTTCCTTTTGAAATCAAATGAAAATTGTACACTTATGTTAGTACTTTACATTTATTGTATATTTTATGTAACTTTATATTTTTTAATAATTCTTCAATAACGTTTCGTAGTTTTGTAGGTTTCTCTTCAATAATCGCTTCACTATAGTTAACAGTTAGGTATTTTTTTTTAAATACAATAATTTGTTCCATCAGGACGTGTGCGCGTACCAAGCTGTTGGCATTCCTATCGTGAGAATCTTCACCATCAACTACAAGGGCGAGCTGAAACACGAGCTCACGCAGACATTCCAATCCACGTGAGTACACATACATCTCCATACAAACCCATACAAATTCACACTTACACATGGAATCATAGAAATTATTATCTCTAGCTAATTTTAAGAAAGATTTTCATGTTACTTATTTATTCTTATTCAGTAATAGCTTTTTAAATAAAATATAGAAATAACCTCTTTATTATGCTTAGATTAGCCAGTCGTTTGCTTAGAGGATAATCTTGCAACTCTTATATACATTTTCACAAGCAATTCCACAACCAATACTTATACACCCTTATAAAATAAAAATCCTTATATGTGTATAAATAAATGTGTTTTATAGTACATGTATGTATATTTACTTGTTACATGTGTGGGTGGCTAACATTCAGGAACGTACAATGTAATAAGTGAGCTGTTTCTATTTCAGTTACCACGTGCAAAGTGACATGGTCGATGATTTCTTCCCGCCTATGAAACGTCATAACGTTGTTAAAAGCTAGCGACCATATATTTCCTATATTAATTATTTATATTGGATTAGATCGCGCCGCATTGCCCGGTAAGACGGCATGAATATAGGGGCTTGTCACTTCGACACCGCGAACTCATAGATCCATTATAGCCTGACTAAATAACGCAGATTATAATTTCCACTAATAACGATCAGTAATCATCGACTTGTCATCGGTTTTGTGTGTCTGTTGTCTCTCAGAGGCTGTTTATGTGTTGGTATAAAGAACCATCATTGGTCTATGATCGGTTTGTCTCTTTCGTACGGCGAAATACATAAACAGCCTTCCTCTGTCTTGTCTAATGCTAACACTGTAAACATTCTCTTCTATGCCACCTACACCATTTATATAACTTCGGTGTTGGAAATTAATCTTGTATATATAAACACTTGTATAATATATATATTGGTTTTTATAGTTTGTCTAAATAAGATAGATTAGTTTGACAATTTAGTAAGGATGGGTTGTGTAAAAGCAGGCATGTCTTTTTTTTTAAAAAAAATCTTATCGAAATTGGAATATAACAATAGATTCATACTTATAATTAAACTTATGAATTTAAAAAAAAAACACTGTTTACAATGACCTACAAAGTTAAGTTTTACTTAAACCGAGTATCAATAGTTCATAATTGTTTGCTATGTGTGTTTGTTTTAACACCACGATACCTGTCTTTTAAGTACGGCATTAATTTAATTTAATTCGATACTTCATATGCGTCATTTATCAAACTAATCTATCGTAGACGAACTATATTAGAAGTATTTTATTAATATTGAATGTCTATTGTGTCAGGTACTCGCACATGTCGGTGCTGGTGGACCAGGTGTTCCCGCCGGCGCAGTGCGAGCCGAGTGGCGAGTTCTCCCACGCGGTGTACTGGCGCGACCCCCTGCCCGCGGTCGCCCTGCCCCCGCCGCCCGCCGCGCTTGCAGCACTCGCAGCACCTAAACACTAGATACCACCCCTACCCCCACCAACCCCCCACATAGTCAAATATAAACATTTTGGGGTAGGTATGGTGGAGAATAAAGTGTTGAAGAGAAGGTGAAGCGTTTTGAACCAGAGTTGTTGCTGTCAAAAAGATTGATGTGGATACTTCGGCGTCCAAGTCAACTCGCCTTAGTTAATTCTAACTACTGTCTGGGACAAAAATAAACATTTAGGTTTACTGCTGGTGGAGAATAAAGTGTTGAAGAGAAGGCCCTTTGGAATGACTTGTTGCTGTCCAAAAGATTGTGGATACTACCTTGGCGCCGAATTCAGCGCACCTCTAAACAAAACATAATACACTACTATGTAGTAATCGCAGTAGTGTCAGCACACTAATGCAAATTTCAACTACCCTACAACTCAATATTGTTGAACACATTGACGCTGACAAATATTGACTTAATTATTCCCATCTTGACAGTGACAAATGACTGATTAATTCAAAACAGACAATCAATCAATTAAGACAAATGTTAGATTTATTACTCACAATATTCACATATACCCACATTAATGACAAATATTAAAACGTAGTCTAGATTAGATGATTCCTACCTAAAGCATATATTCACCAAGTTAATCTAGAAATAAATCACATTTTTCAATGTATACTCACAGTTTTGTAGTAGAATTTTTTACAACTACCCACCGCTACCAAACACATGCCAAATCGTAAATGTATGTTAAATTTTGAGTAATCGCATATCTCATTAAATCTCTTATGTAGACAAATACCAATTAGGAGTGTCGTAAATTATTTTGCGCTTTCTATGTAAGTTAACTAAGTAGTGTATACTTATTCTCACATAATGGACTGTGACAATGATAGTTCTCATTTAATTGAACTTTAGTTAATAAAGTGTAAGTTGAAGACATCCTAGAATAACTGTTAACACAACGTATTAAATCTTTGATTTTATATTTCATCTACATCATAAAAATCTATAATTTGAAAATAATTATTACATATTTAAATAATTTTTCAAACTCGTCCTTTTGTTGACGATTGCATCTTAAAACGCTCGGTGTTCTGAAGCCAAAAAGATAGCTCAATATTAACCCTTCATTGACAAATATTCTGTTACTTATTATGACTAAAATATTGTTCAATTTACTATCATTAGAATTACTTGTAATATTACAACTTTAATTTTTCAAGACATTTTTGAAGACTTTGTTTGGATATTACGATAAAAGAAATGCCACACGAGACACAACCTGTCGAAAATACGCGTGTTTGGTGTTATTGTTGTGCATGGTTACTCAAAAAGTTTTCAAGTCTCATTGACTTCCTATTATTTAATGTAATTAATTTGTATTATGGCGCCACGTCGGTGCTATTGTAAGGCTAAAGCGGTATCGATTAGTTTCAATTACCTTTAGATTATTAGCTTATGCAATATATGACTTATGGCTGTATACTGAAACGAATCTTCAAACACTTCGCTTGGTAAGCTTCATTTACAATTTGATAGATTTCAAAATAATGAAATGAGTATATATTTAATCTATCATAAGTGGCATATTTTAATGTTTCAGTATACGGCCGATAGATTAGTATGACCTTATACTTTACTAGACATTGTCTTACGTTTCACTATATACCATTCAGATTACGTATATAATTGTTTGGTTTGCAGAATAATGTTGTGATATGTGATCTCAGCTTGCGGGTTGTAACATTTGTTCCTTGCCCTTGCATTTCATTGATGAGTTTACATATGTTATACAACAGTGCTACTTGTCTTAATTCACTACTTTCTCACATAAAAGATAATCCCAGTAGTATGTTGGTGCCACTATAATGAGGTTACACCAATTCGATATATTGCATACTTGTTATCACAGCTTTCCCTCAAATATCATCTTGCCAATATTTTGCAACTAAAATTACAAATATATGTATCCAGTTCCCATCAACCTCAACTACAAATTTCATAAAGACTGTTTATTCCATAGATTGCAAATGTAATATGATTTGCTGTTACAAGCTGTGATGTCGTCGACCGATGAAGCGATGCTTTATTTTTGTACTGTGATCAATATGTATGCTAAGTTATTTTTATGTTAAACTACACGTTGTACGCAAAACCACATTCTCGACAGAGGCGTAGCCTCAAATGTGTTAGTTCTTATTGTAATTGATATTTTTTTATTAGTGTGTAATTTTGTATTTTGTTATTCATGTAGGTTTTCGATTAGTTTCATTGTGGATCATCGGTTTTAAATGATTTATAATTAATTTTGTATCATATCTTTTAAAGAGAATAATTTATTGTTTCTGTGATTCATTAAATAATACCGTAAATGTTGTAGTTTTATTTTATTCTACAAATAATATCATGTATCACCAGGACATGGTAAGAATGGTCATGTCTGCCTTATTAGAGCTTAAACCTACCCTATATACGGACGCCGAAATCCGCTGTGTGAAATCTTAAATCACTTACAGAAAAATTGCCTTGTTCCTTTCCACAAGACAAACTCCACTTCTTATAAATAACCAATTAGCAATGAGTAGCACAAACGACGGGATAATAATGAATAGCAATTAGATATTAGACTGACAACTCTTTCTTGTAAAGGTAAATTTAAAAGTGTCTAATTGGTAAGTGTTTTGCATCCTTGACTCAAAATTCAAACAACTATCTTTTACATGGAACATCGCCAATTTTCTCGACTGTACATTCAGTTGCAACAGTTTATCTAAGTCAATCTATTCTGTTTAAACTGAATATCTTTTTCTGTGAGCTTTTTAAAAGACTAATATTTCAATTTCTTGATAAAAATTGTAAAGAATTTACTGAGGATATTTTAGTTTGAATCTTTAGTCACTCAATACATTGATTAAGTTTAAGGCAAGATAATAAAAAACCTCAAATTTAATTAAACTTAAAAATATTTATTAACATATTGTATCATGTTTCATCTTCTTCCATTTCTTCATCTTGGAGTACATTATCATCTTCATTATCACTGTCTTTGTCACTCTCCTGATCACTCAGCACATCAACATCTTTATGAAATCCTTTGCCTTTGGTCCAATGGCATTTGATTTCAAGCTTAAACTTAGCCATTTGGTTGCCGAGAAGTTTCAATATACTTGCCTGTTCTGGTGTTAATGCTACACCTTTTTTACAAATCTGTAAAAAAAGGTATTACTGCATGTATTGTGTGGAATTAAAAAAAAAGCTTAGCAAGCAGCCTCTGCATTCTTTCAAATATTGTGCCAAATTTTTATAATCCATTTGAACATTTTTGAGGATCCATCCATGCAAACAACAGTACAGAAGGTATATTGTTCTCTCCTACATATGTTATCATATAACACACTTTGTTAAAAAAGATATTGAACAATAAATTAACTGTGGGAAACATAAATGTATTGAAAGCGATCACTGCATTATGCTTCTTAATATTTTTGCCACAATTTTTATTAATAACTGACCTGATATTCTTTGATGAGTGTGATGACACCTTTCTCCAAAGACGTAGGAAGTCCTAACCTACGTAAATGTGGTTCTATTGTGTGTGAAAAGTTTTCAAGTGGCCCCTCTGGTAGTATTACATCTTGTGTTGCAATGAAACCAGCTCTGGCATACTCCGCTGCTCTGTAGGTTTTAAACCACTGAAGTACATCCCCGACATTTCTGTTAGTCATGAGTAAGCCACACTGGCCCTTTAATTTTTTTGATAACTGAAAGCATACAATTGTTATAACTATACAGAAATTAAAACATTTTATGCTGTTTTATTCATCATAAGATAAATTATATCCACATGCGATATAGAGAGTTGTTCTAATTCGAACTTGAACAGTATTAACTCTAAACACTAACCAAATTTAATTGATCTTCAATTTCATCGCTTTTCGTCCTGCCCAATGCAACTGCCATAACTTTGTTTTTTCCAAAAAAAAATCTTGAATCCTTCCATTCGCTTCGCAAGTCTTTCAGTTTAGTATTACGCATATTGTCCACCGTAAACAGAAAAATGTGTTCATATTTTGATAGTGAATTACGAATTTCTTCGATTATTTTCTGTTTAAGAACGAGTCCTTTCTTGTTTGTTTTGGTTAGTGAAACTGAAACACATTAAAGCATTGGAAATAAAGACATATTAAAATAAATAAAAGCAACAGCGATTTTCTTCAGAATAAACTTTAAATAGGTTATAATTTATGAACTTACCTTTTTTATCTCGTTTTGATTTCGGCATTTTTTAATAATTATTTAGATAGTGAGACTTAAAGACAATTAGACCAATAGCTAATAAAGCTACTAGCTTTAAATATAGTTTTTTTGATGTTTACACGTGAAATTTCACGTGTTTTTAAATTTTGTAGTTATCAAAATGTGGTACAAAGAGTACGTACGTGCGAGGAAATCTGACAGATTCTCTAAAATGTCAAAGAGTAAGTAGACAAAAAGTTTGATTTCGGGGAGGAGAATTCTTAAACGCAAATATGGTATACCACTAAAACAAAGCGAACCTTGTTTAAACCTTTGTTTGTGTTCTGAATATCCATTAGTTAAGTTTATCTTTTTTTATATCATGTGTAAAGTAACCGCCACTTTTTACAGACTACTATCTAATTTTACGAACTTTATGGTACTTCAGACAATCATTATGTTTTAGAGATTTAGATGTTTGAATATTTTTTCCATTATTTGAAATCTTCCAATGGCATTTCAAAGTTTATTGTTATATAATTACACAAAAAACAATAACAAGCTTAAATATCGGTGAGATTTTTAAATAATTGCGCGATTTGTACATTTCCTGTCCTAGGGCGAGATTTAATCGATTTTATGTGTATCGTATGTTGCTATCTCTTTTCAATAACTCACGTGGGAAGAGTACAAATAGTGTTTTCGACTTTCCTTATTGAACCAAAGACTAGTATCGAGCCAAGAAGTTTGTGATGGCGGACATTTTGTGAGAACCCTCTTCCGTTTTTTGTTTCCCCTCTGGCCCCGCCGCCGTCAGTGTAGTGTATCGTTCACCGCAAGAGAAAAATTGAAATCGTGTTGCAATTTGCTGGCTTAATTACTTTAATTCCCTTCCAACAAGTAAGTGCATTAAAATATACTATGTGTTATGTATTTCTCGGGCATTTTGGTGTTTTACATTGAAGTTGTATTTTTGTACTTTTGTGACTGTGACGCATAAAAGGAGTGTCCCTAGCAGCAGCCATTTTGCCTGAGCCGGCGACACGATATTGTGGTGTGGTTAGCTATCAATCTAAATTCTAGTTTTCTAAACTTTTTATCATAATTTGATTAGTAACGATTAGTTGTACAGCTAACAAAGACATCTATCAGTTCTGTACGTTGACAGCAAATTAGTAAGGTGGTTATTGGCTCGTTATAGCCTCTAAGGTAATTAGGTATGTGCCTAGGCTATATAAAGGGTACATTATATCTTAGTCATTTTTATAGATTTGTGCTATAATAGTGGTTGAACATTTAACTTTATATATAGTGAGACATTTCTTGGTACACGATTTACAAGTTAAATATCTTTCATTACCAACTGAAAAGTAACCTACCGTCACGTAAGTGCGTAGTAACTTTGCCGTGCATTTTTGTTCAGTCTTCTTATCTATATAACCGTTAAATTGTCATGGGAAACGCACTGGGGTAATGATCGAAGATGCGTCTATAATTTATTATTGCGACCTGTGTACGACTCCGCTGGTAAATCTTTGTAAAATTAGAATTTAGCGATTTATAGGTTAATTTACTTTTTATATTTTGAGCGTGGCCCTAAACCGCCTTCGTGCAGATGATAGACACGTGCTGCGTATAAAAGTAGGATCGTCTTTTACTAAACGCAGTTGAAAAGCCAAATTATCGTTAGACGTATAGACTATGTATAGTACACTTGGTTGCCCTATAAACTTTCCAGATGCAATAGATTCTAATGATATTTTCTACCTATGGATAGGGGTATATTGTACTAGCAGTACATGTTGGTTTTGTTATTTGGTTATTTGCCTCATAATGTATTACATCATTCAACATCCCTTAATGTTCTTGCCCTCTCCATTGTGTCTAGGTATTTTGTCTAAAAGGCTAAGCAGTATATACACATAAAGTTATTTAATTACCTGGCACCTGACTTTACTTAGATATTGTAAATAATTCTAATTAATAATGTAGATATAAGATTGGATGATTCACTTTGTGCATGGTGTGAATCATACATTACAAAATCAATACTCACAAATAATGTCTTTGCCATGATGTTCAGTTAATTATATTTATGAGTATATGTTTAGAAATTATCATAAATTTATTAATTTAGTAATTGGTATTTCAAATTATACTTTACCAATTTGGAGAGTATCTATAATGTCATAAGTTTTTTTTCTTTCATTTATAAGAAGAAAATGTTTAAAGTAATGACAAAAGATCATAAAAAATTAACCAACAAAACACATTGTCACTACAAGTTTAATATAACTGTTTTGCAACAGTGCTTTGTCAGTTAAAATCCACAGTTATGGAGATACCAGCCATTTTTATTAGTTAAAATTGTACGGCCATGTGCAATGTTAGGTATAACATAGTAAATCAGGTTGCAAACTGAAATATATCTCTAATGGGGAGTAGTACCAGTTATGACATCAATTTCGACTTTTGTCATGGCAAGATTGGAAAAAAAAAATCCTTGCTGAATATTTCAAAAGCCTTCCTAAATTAATTCTTACATACTTAAGTATTGATTATCTGTTGCTTGTATATTTAATTGATTTATACAGATTTCATGTTGAGATGTACACTGAACTATAGATTAAAATAATTTACTCTTATGAAAATGTTGAGTTAAATTAGACCCTAGCAACAGGGCTTTGAATATGAGGTAGAGTATAGATAGATATATAAGCGGGTAGTGGAGGGAGGGGAGGTGGAAGGCGCCGGGCTGACGGGTGTGGTGCACGAGGGCGGGGTGCCCGGGGTTGGGGCGCGCGGGGTGCGGGGGGTGCAAGCGTCGCGCTAGTCGTATTTCGTCTGGAGTGTTTATCCCGCGTCGCCGGATCAATACAGTTGGCGCAGTGGCGGTGGCCTAGGCGGCGCAGCGACGGCGCAGCAACGGCGCGTGCCTTGTTACATTCGCCAGTGACCCGAGTCTGTGAGATGCTGTCGAACCGAACGGTCGCCGGGTCGATGTCGCGTTTGGTGTGAGGGTCGCTCTTAGAGCTACGTTGAATTTTTACATTGCGCCAGTGCGCCCGACAGCCTCCATCCAAGGTGCGCCGCATTTCATGATGACTCACATACCCATTTTGGATTCACTGCGGTGAAAGTGACTTCCAATGATTAGTCTTTCTGAGAATATTTTAATTTTCTTTCAGCTTTCATTAATTTTTTCAATCGATTAATTTACTTTTCCTTTGAATTGTTGCAGGGGCATCAGTAATATAATTGTCACAGATAACCAACCATGTCGGTCGACAAGGAGGAGCTGGTGCAACGCGCCAAGTTGGCGGAGCAGGCGGAGCGGTACGACGACATGGCGGCCGCGATGAAGGAAGTCACGGAAACCGGCGTCGAGCTAAGCAACGAAGAGCGAAACCTGCTCTCCGTCGCCTATAAGAACGTGGTGGGCGCCCGGCGGTCATCATGGCGAGTAATCTCCTCAATCGAACAGAAAACTGAAGGATCGGAAAGAAAACAACAGATGGCAAAAGAATATAGGGTTAAAGTAGAAAAAGAGCTCAGAGAAATCTGCTACGACGTTTTGGTAAGAATTTGTAATTTTATTTTTTGACTTCATTATTTTCAGTGCAGATGGCACTTTTTTTACGCTGCGGATATTACAGATTTCCTTCCGCGTTAAATAGATTATGTTAGCGGTCGTAGCTTTCCTACGGCGATGACGTCATCATATTTGCATGGTGCCAATTTAAGGGGGTGATGCAAACGTCGCGGTCATTTTGTGCGCAAATTGTATATTGATGTTAATGATGGGCGTTATAGCGCAGTAGGTAGCTGGGCTCGCATGGCGGCCGGGCCGGGCGGCAGGGCGGGGCGGGGCGCGGTGCGGTTGCGCGCGCCGCGGGGGCCGGGGCGTGACGTATTGCGCCGCGTCACTACTGCGCGCGCAGCTATCCCATCTTCGTTCGTTGCCCTATCTCTAGACATCGACTATCCGATGCATTTTTTGTCGATTTTCCGTTACGGTATTTACTACAGTAGAGTTTTTTTAGTTGCTACTTTTACGTAATCTTAGGAGAAAGTGCATCGATATCGATTGGACTATTGATAGGTAGTCGCAACGTAATTTTAAAAAAAAATCGAAACTTAAAATAAATATTTAGCAAATTATTACGTAACAAAAACTTGTAACATGAATTTAATATTCTAATATTGTAAATTAATTATAGCGGCTATTTTTGATTTTAATTTTTTATAACCAAATTGAAAATTGTTACAGGGCTTACTTGATAAACACCTAATCCCTAAAGCTAGTAATCCAGAAAGCAAAGTATTTTACCTTAAAATGAAAGGAGATTACTACAGGTACCTTGCAGAAGTGGCCACAGGAGAAACCAGAAATTGTAAGTTATGTTTATACTTGTTTCTCCATTGTACATAATTTATTTCTACAATTGATTGTTTAATTATGTAATGAATATTAAGTCCTTAATAAGACAATAAGCTAGTTCTAACAACCCTTTACAATTACAGCTGTTGTAGACGATTCACAGAAAGCATACCAGGATGCTTTTGAAATCAGCAAGGCAAAAATGCAGCCCACACACCCAATAAGGCTCGGGCTGGCGTTAAATTTCTCCGTGTTCTATTATGAGATATTAAATTCACCAGACAAGGCGTGTCAGCTCGCCAAACAGGTCATTATTTGTGTCAGTTTGCATAGGCTCTGTGCTGGCTGGCACGAGGAGGGGCACGCGCGCCGCTAATCGCTCGCTTGTCCCCAGCCGTCGTGGAGGACTCGCAGAAGGCCTACCAGGAGGCGTTCGACATCGCCAAGACCAAAATGCAACCGACTCATCCCATCCGGCTGGGTCTCGCGCTCAACTTTTCCGTATTCTATTACGAGATTATCAACTCGCCTGCGCGGGCGTGCCACTTAGCTAAACAGGTTTATTCATTGCACAACAATCTGCAGTGTAACCTATCGATCGTGCATCCCCTACTAACTAGTACGCGTGTAGCCATCCTCCGACAGTTTGCATGAACTTCAAACTTTTACAATCTAATTTAGATGTTCCTTAAAAATAAACTCACTAATTTTGCCTCGGCATGGCCATGTAAAGCGATTAACACGTTAATACTCGATCCAGCCAGCATCAAGAGTGTATATTTATTTAACTGTTGTATATAGTATAGTTTGAATGTGTTTGTTGAGTTGAGATGTATGAGTGGAGCGGGGTAGAGCAGTGGCAGAGGAGTGAGACGTGGCGCGTGTTGCAGGCGTTCGACGACGCGATCGCCGAGCTGGACACCCTTAACGAGGACTCGTACAAGGACTCGACGCTGATCATGCAGCTGCTGCGGGACAACCTGACGCTGTGGACGTCGGACACGCAGGGCGACGGCGACGAGCCGGCCGAGGGCGGCGACAACTAGGCCGCGCCCTCTCCGGCCTCGCCTCCCGCGAGTAACATTCGAGAAGGCCGCGCGGCGCACGCCGCCAGCCGTCGCTTGTAAAAATGTTAAACATGTCGTTCGCAGCGGACCTTCACGTTCCGTCTAAAATTAAATGTTATGTGTCATCTTTGACGGTTTTGTATTTCTGTATTTACACTGGATTACAGATATCGAGCTGACCTGATGAATATAAATATTTATAACTTAAGTTATTAAAATTACGGTTTCTTAAGTTAAAAGTGTTTTCCTTTATTATTTAAATCGAACTCGACAGCCCGGTCGGCCCCAAAGCAACATTCCTCTCGCCGCATGTCAGCAGTGAAGGAGATCATGATGGTGAATGTTTTAAAATTATGCAATTAGATGATAAAATTGTTAACCTACGCCCAGTAACCCGATTAAATTTAGATTTTCATTATAAATTCACGATCTGTAATGGCTGTATGAAATTAGGGCACAAAAAACTTGTTAGTGTCTTTTATGTGGTTTTTTGTGATGTCCTTTATATGTGTTAAATATTACCAAAGCGAAACTAAATGTTGACATTAACCATTTTGTTGTGCCCATCACTGATTAATTACTAGCATTCTGAACTTTCAGGCATTTATTAGCGAAATAGATTTTGTGATGGACAAAATATTGTAACATTTCTGCTGCATTTTATCAGCCATTAATCTATTATATTTTTCATGTTTTCACCAATAAACTTTTGTATTAAATACACTTTTTAGTTTTAGAACCAATATTTAAATAAACCATCACCTATTAACCCCACAAAGATGTTTGTCTACGCAACGCATTTCGCCATAATCACCTATATACCGCCGATGAAACCTTCATAAAACAGAAATTGGCGAAAGCGGTAGCCCTTTATCTTATTCCCTTTCCAATTAAAATGTTTGTACTATGTAAATAGATCTAATCGCAGAAAAATACGAATTAAAGTTTTCGTCTAGCTAGGTCATATTGTGTTATTGCATGTGCAAAGCATTAGATGAGAATGGGACGTTCTTTATCTCAAAATAAAGGTAGTAAAACGAGTATGGATAAGATACTGTTAATCTTTGATTAGTCATTGCCAAGTCTATATTGTGAATATCTACGAAGTTACTAGTTCCTTTCTACGTAAAATTGATGGCTACCAAGTTACCAAAATTATGCACTAATTTAAACGCAAATATGAAAAAACCTGCAATAGGCTATCGATTATAGATATTGAAGACATCAAATATAATTCATACTCGATGTATAATTAGTCTGATAGTATCGATTCATCGTATAAGGCACATCACTAATAGGTATATAATGACAACACCGGTGTTTAAATTTTAATTTGGCAAACTATAGGGCTGGTAAAAGTTTAGTGAAATATAAGGCGCTTTTATTACAAGCCTTTAAAAACCTGCAATAAATAATACTGAAACAGAAGCACATCAAAAAATGTAGCGTCAGGCTAATATTAAGGCCAAGTATAACTAGCAACACTGTACGTAAACTTACTAAACAAGATAAAATCTATAGCTTCTCTCCCATAAATAGATTCAAATGTTCAAAAAAGTCAATACACACCAGGTTTTACTTCAAAAAGAGATGGCAAGATTTGAAAAACAAAGCTAACTATTATGGATGCGAAACTTAGATTTGGAGGATATAGGAGATATACATATAACGGATTAGTTAACAATAAACGAACGTAAAATTGTTTTCGTTAAGTAACGTTATTTCGAATTTAGCAGTTCAACGCAAGTGCGGTTCAGTTTCTTCAAATAAAATAAAAATATCTGTCTTAAAAAAATAAAACTTTATTCTTACATGTAAAATTGACAAATGCATTAGAAATACTACTATTGTATCACAGTCTTTAAATATTAACATTAGAGTTTGTAAAACCGAATATGAACACTTTTCTTAATACCGGAAGAATAATTATACAAAGAAGAGGTCTTACTGCAGTAGCCACTAGATATAAGCAATCACATATAAAGTTCACCAATGCTAAAACGTAACCGGGTTGCTCCACTGCGTATTCGTTCTCAACTGTCGATGTAGCATACAAACTATACACCATAACGATGGATCGTGGTGCACAGAGTATAACATAAGTACAAATTAAGCATAACGATAGTTTTAATGCAGGAAACGTTTCACTAGACTGTGAGTGACCTTTCTTAGACTTCAGTTTAATCGTTATTAAAACTGCGGAAGTGCTCATTATAATAATGGGTAGGAACAAGTTGAAAACGGCTAATAATGTGTGCATGTTAAGTCTATGACTCGTATCCACAAGCGTGCATAACACTATATCATGATCTAGATGGACAGTAGTCGCCAAAACAAACTCCGGAACGCTCAGCGATGCAGATAAAACCCACACGAAAACTACAGGAGGAGCAATACGTATTTTAGTATTAGTTAGGCGGTAATCAACGTTCAACGTACGAGGCGTTGAGGTATTACTTGCGACCAGGCTGTGCCGGGACGATCTTATTTCTTCATCGTCATCAAGATCATCTCTCTTGTTTAGGCGAACTTCTTTTTCTTCCAAACTCGCTGTTGCCAAAGCGTGGAGAGCTATTGTAGTGATTAAATATAAAGATGCCGTCGTTGAGAATACATTAAGCCCGCGGTAGGCAATGCACGCACTTCTTCCAAATTGCCAACTTCTTGCGTTGTAAGACCATAGCTCTGGTGCGATGGTTGTACCCAGCAGTAATAAGTCGACAATGGCCAATTGTATAAGAATATAAAACAGACCTGAAAAAAAGAAATAACATTTATCGTTTCTTTAATTTTAATTGTTAGGTTTTGCATCGCCCTTCCCTTTGATGTGTAGTTATTACATCAGCATCCGGAGCAACGACAAACACCATGCATGCTATCATCTGTTTCAGGTTTTTTTCATTCAGAGCTAATTAATTCAAAGTGATGTTCATGTGTATAATGAAGCGAACTTGTGTTTCTGTAAAAACCTTACCAAGTTCAATACGGGAGAGAATTTAGTTTATTTGTTTTTAAAATCATACTTACATTATTATAAATGCGAAGGTTTAGTTGGAAAGATGGGTGGATGTTTCTTAGAATTTGTAGCCTAAACGGCTTACCGGATTTGGATGAAATTTGACATAGACCCATAGGACAGCCTGGAAAAACACGCATAGGCTACTCATTTTTGATTTTTTAAAATTCCAGGCAGACGGAGTCTCGGGCGAAAGCTACTAACACTAAAATACCAAATTCAAAGAAAAAGCTACACTTGTATAAAATTTGATCATTTTTTAATGCACATGACTAATGACAATTACTTAATAAAATAATAAAATGAGGATTATAATTTGGAAATGTACCGTTGGTTGATCGCTTGAGCAGAGCGGCGAGGAGTGCGCAATGCGCAAGGGCGGCGGCGCCGGCGACCGGCGCGGCGCACACTGCGAGCGCGAGCGGCCGCACCAGCTGCACCGGCGAGGCGCCCCACTCTGCCTCCGCCTCCGTGAGCTCAGCCATGGCGTCGACTCGGCGTCGGCCCTCGGGGAGCGTGGCGGGATCAATGACTTTCGCTGCCTCGTTCCTCGCTCGCCTTCCCGCCGTCCCGGTTTTTTTTTCGACTCCGCTAGTGAATCACCACATCGGGAACATGTGCCACACTGTACGCACTCCCTAGCGAGTGTTCACAACTACTCTGTGCGAATCATACACTACCAACTTTTACTGGTCGTGTTACTGTAAAAGGATAAAGCTTATTTTAGACCGGAGCCGTTGTGCGAAACGCGCTTCGGCGACACCGAACGTTTCATGACTAGAGAGGAACTGCGCTAAGTTTGCATGTGAACGAGTGCGAATATTAATATTAAGGGCTGCACTTCTCCTCATTATAATTCAACACCCGCAGCGCAGCGCTACCTGCGGATGTCGCCGAACGAGCGGTGACCGTTATGATGGCTTACCAATCGCTCGATTTGCCATTCAAATGGGATGCATTCGGTTATAATTATTTATTGAGAGTATGAATATGAGGTAGGTATGAGTTGTATGAATGGACACTATAAAATATAAGTATCGACACAATACGTCGTCTTGTTTTTGGAAAAAGTTACAATTTTTATCTTGTACCTTTAAACATTGCATAACATTACTAATTTATGAATGGATTTAAAAACATGGATTGCAAAAGGTTATGTTTCAATTTAGGACAAACATTACCCACCTATCTGTCTGGAAAAATACCAGGTAGTTCCTTAGTTGGCTTCGATTCTTGAAAACTCCGGATCGATATTTGCTTAATGCGTCATATTTAATTATTTAATTCCTAATTCATGTCGTTCTCTCTTGCTTAAAAGTTTTCCTGGAATCAGAAGTAGCACCTGAATAACTGATGGAGTAACTTCAGCTAACGTCTTCTTAGGCTAATCGCTTAGCGCACTAGTGTCTTGAGAGTTTAAAGTTGTAAGACCCGCACTGTTAGCATTTACAATTCCGTATTTATTTAATAAACTGTTGAACAAATAGTCTTCTTTCCCCATTCATGAGTTGTTGCTATTGTTTTTTTTAAGTTCAATGAACGCAAAGAATGTTTTCCTGTTTTATATGTCATAGACTATTGTCTCCAATATAAACGACGCGTCTGCTTATATACCGAGATTAAATATCCTTCTAGTTAGTTGTTTTACTATCAGAAAAGGAACTTCACCTGATTCCACGCGTCTTCACAAAGATAAATATTTAGTTATATGGATATATACGATGGAGTGTCTCACTTTGAACATTGTTGTCAAATCAAAAGTCCATCGGAAATAAATGAAATAAAGGTCTCCTTAACTGTTTTAAAAAAATATTGTTTTAGTTAACTTCGTTTGAAAACAAAGCTTGAACATGGTATTTTTATCCAGAACTTGGGTAATTTCAACGAAGCATTGTTACTTGTTGAATACTACATACGGAAAATGATAGGTACTTAAAAAATAACAACTTTTTCCAATGGCTAATTTCCACTCGTATATATTGCTGACTCAATGTCAATGAACGCCGACTTGTTAAATAATTGCTACCCAAAAAAAATATTAGGAGTTAATAAATAAAATTTTTAAAAATTTAAAAAAAGAAGACAAAACAGCTTAAAATCTAACATGTGCTTTACGTTAATGGATCCAGGTACATCTTAAAAAATATGTTTCTAAAACAAGTGTTTGTAGTGTTTTCGTCAGTTGGATAACCAAAATTGACAACGGTAAACTAGGAAAGCTCCGCGAAATATTTATTTATAAGGGTGAATGAGGAAAACGTGGCGTATAAATAATAACTTGAAGGTACTCGAATACTTATCGATCGTTGTTACCACTGACAACGTTCGAATAAATACCACATCAAAATATATATCTACGTAAAGTAGAATAAGAGGAAATGAGGAAATTGTGCCGAAATTGAGCGGAAGTTAATCTTCCTTATTCTAAATTTGTTTTGCAAATCGTACGAAGTTACCTATTTGTTCATGATTTCGTTTATTTCGATTTAAAATGTAAACATTTCTTTCAAATGGATACAGTTGTATAGTCTTTCGTAAAATTATTTACAGCAAAATAAATTGTCGTTTAATGTTCCCATAGTGGACAATATATTGGACCTTGAATAATTAAAATGGGAGCATTGAATGTAATCGAATAATTATGATTAAAGTAAAGTGCATTGCATGCGGGTCCCACTGCACTTGTTAAGTATATCTTCAAACGATAACTCGTACAAGAAATTATGCAACATGCATGTGGGAAACATCTTTATATGCAAATTAATTGCAACCTGTGTGTAATTATTATCTTTAAGGATTCGGTATTTTTTGTAATTGTATATTTTGTCAACTAAATCCTATTTCAAAATTATATGGTTAATGGTTATCGAGCATAAAGTTTTCGTATTTGCCTTGTTTGACTAGGTATAACACTCATCTAGATATTGTTAAAAGAAAGAATTATTTGATTTTTATTGATGTATTATCTATTGGTGCAGGAGTGACGGCCTGACGGATGGGTCGCGGGCGAGACAAGCGACAATGGTGGTCGGGGGAGGCGCGTGGGCGCTGCGATTCGGCTGCCAAAATCTGCACTTTCCTCCGACTTTCTCTCCGAGGTGCGAAAGGTATTCACCGGGGGCACGCAATGCTCGTTCAGTAGCGGCCGAGGCATACGTACGCGTTCTAATCTCCGGCGCGGCGTCGCAACGCTGCATATCCGATATTCAAAGCACCTGCATACTTCCGTGTTTATAAGCGTTGTGGTGGGTGAGGTGAGCTGATTTGCCTGGTGGCGTGTGCGCTGAGTTGTGATGTCGGAGGGCGGCAGGGCGGCCATGGCTCGCGGTCACTCGGCGCTCGTTGTGTTGCTGTGCGCGCTACGCGCTACTACGCCTGCGCGTTTTCCTGTGAGTATGCAAAATGTACAGCCACTAGGGCGGGCGGACATGCTTACAAGCTTTTATGTTAATGTTTTAAAAAAAATGTCTCGTTCTATGCTTGCATTTTAATTGTTATTTTATTTATTCAATGTATGATTTAGTTACTTTTCTTTACGTACGATTTGTTTTGTGTGTGTATATTCTACGGTTAATTTTAGCGTACATAATATTTGTGAAAAGAATGTCGTGTTGTTTAATGAATAATAGTGCATTAATTTACACAATTATCTATAAATAAAATAAAGATCCATTGCCGTTTCGTCGTAACTAATCACTTAAGTATATTTGACGATACCTACATAAAACTACATATAACGAAATAATGTTAACATTGTTGGTTACAAACTAAGTTATTTGAATCTAATTCTCAGATAATTTGCGTCGATGTATTGTGGTTTTTGAATCGGTGAATAGTTGTAGTTAAAACAGAGCAAAGATCTCTGCTTACCCTTACTGATGTGTGAGGTGTTAATGCATATAATTTAAAGTCAATATAAACGGCGTATACTCCTATTGTGTGCCGTTAGTATGTTTTATAATGTAATTTAGATCAAAGATACTAAAGATATTCATATATAAGTACTTTGTACCTACTTTAAAAAGATGCGTTCGAGATTGCTGATGAGTCTTTAAAAAAGAAAAAAAAGCAAACAGCGAGTTCTCAGTGAACACATGAATCATTATGTGTTGTAACGGGCACAAAGAAAACAAAGACATTTCCTGTTGTGTTAAATATTTCTTTGACAAAAAAACACATTTAGCTAACTTATAATGCACTTGTAATATTGCATAAAAACAATGAAGTATTAACACACATCTTTTTTATTATTTTCAACAAAATAAATACATTTGTATATTGCAAAAAATTTGATAAACAATGTATTTAACATGAGCATGTATTATTTATGAGAATTCAAATATTATGTATCTTGGAGTCTTCTGTATTAGTACTTTACGGTTTATCAGTTCACTTAACAATTTAACAAGTATAAGCGCATGTTCTTAACCAAAATTTCATAGTTCGTAGAATAGTTACTTTAGCGTAGTAATTTTGCATTGTTACTTTGGATGGTATTTAAACCATTTTCCATTTAAATTAAATTACAGTTATTTTGCAAAACGGATTAAGGTGTTTTTAAATTTTAATAATAAGGAATTAAAAAACAATGTTTCATACAAAATTCAATTTTCTTTTGTTCCTCAGAGAGAAATTATGAGTAATTCGTTTGTACAATTTTAATTAGAATAAAATTAACATGGATATAAATTATTGTAATATAAAGGTTAATTGTTTTGTGACAGCCATAAAAGACAATTTTTATTGTCGGATTAATATGTTGAATTGTAAAGACAATAATTATTAAATCTCCTTTTTTAGGTTAACCATTGCGGATAATGTCGCTAAACGGTACCTCTACATGTATAAACTGTCAATATTACTTTCACTTGATCCTGATTTTTCATATAGTCGTGTCTGTAATTTTATTTTGGCAATTACATTGCATAATACAATGGTGCTTTGTCTTTCCGCACTCGATCACGTAGCGAGTTACACAAGCGTAAATGTCACGTACTTAAGGTTTTTCAATCGGCTCTCGATGATTCACAATACGTTCTTTATTGTGGCCGTCTCGTTGGGACGTGAGGCTCTGCTTCTTACCGAGATGATCGTAAACTTTCATCATTCGGAACCGTCTTACACGGACACTCGAATTTCGAACTTAATGACTAAACTGGACGCTGGCGTAACTTAACGTAAATATTTTCGCGACTCGAGTAATGTTAGGAAGCTATTGTCACATGTCCGTAATGGTAAAACAAATAGTTACTCTACGTTTTACTTTCCCCTTTACTTCACTTGAGCCCGCTAATGTGGAGCCTATACTGGACTGAGTCACCTGATGGTTCGGTTTCACTCGCACTATCTAACAAGGTCGGCGTCCACCAAGAAACCCATCAACGTCCACAGAAAGATAAGCCTTGTTATAATTATCCGTCAGGTGTACACGGTGGCGAGTGATTCATCAATCATCCTTTTTTTCTCTATTTAATTCCGAGAATAAAAGCAAATTAGTTCCACGAAATTTCACTCTACCAATAAATAATTATATCGAAGTTTCTAAAATTATTTACGCGAAACATTGTGGACTTTCCAGATTTTAATTCGTACCTATTTCAGTTTGTATTTTCCTATAGATGTTGCAGAAATAATGATTCTTCTTTGACGTGTGCTTTTTTAAGCTAGATTACATTTCACTTTACATTGTATTTCAATTTAGTGCCCACCTATAATTTCAGAGAAAAGAAATAAAAATTAGGTTTAACTATATAAGCCTAAATTGTCTTTTTGTTAAAATGGTCCTAGATAAACGCAGGTTCTATTTTCACAAACTTTGCCTTGAATTTGATAAGACTTTGTTACTTAAGTTAAATTTCAAATACAGAATGAACGTTTGCAAAATTTAACAAAAAAAATCATACAGCACGCATTTGATAACATTTGATAATTAACCTATTAATGAGAGTGTACTTATTAATTGAAGCAATAAAGTAGCGTGGGAACGCAGCGACGATTTCGACAATGTGTCCGCCCACGCTCACGGGCGCCCAGCTCTTGTCACTGGCAGCGACCTCGATCGTCAAATCATTCATCATCGCACCGACTGCCGAAGTGTTCCTGATACCTACATCGATTGTATTGTCACAACACGGCCGCGCCGCCGCGTGCTACACTACCTCATCATAAACTCACTTTTCGTCTGAGCCAGATACACCGTTTGCTTTAGCGCGGTCATTACTTATCACTTAACATACTTCGATTGTTTTTATAATGTTAAGTACGAGCTACACGGAATTTACACAGCAATAAAATATTTTCTAACACATCAGGATTTTAGTTTGATCGTTTATTCTGTTATTAGCATACGGCACGCGATGTGAGGATGATGTATTTATTGTTGTGGTTTGACATATTTATTTGTTAGTACTAGATTTCTTTTGCATGATTTGATGGATGTTCGGCTATGTGTTTGATTAATTTGAAGCTAAAAGTGATCTAGACTAAAGTAAATTGCTTGAACAAGCACAACCTTTGCTAATTATCGTATATCATCAGGAGGTCCTGCCGCTGCAAGGCTGGTTCGAGGGCCAAGGGGCGGAGCAAGGGGAAGCCGAGGTGCAGCTGGTGTACCTACCGGCGCTGCTGCCACGAGAGGCACAGTCTACAGACGATGCTGATCTTCATGATATACCGCTGCCCTACAAATTCGATGCTTTTGGACGGTGAGTTACCAAATTGAATACTCGTCAGTGGCCAGGCGCTCGTGGCGAATACATCTGGAATAAAGTTAGGTGTTTACGATGGAGTAATTAATCGTTTTTTCTCCTACACATAAACTAGCATTCCATAAACAGTAATGCAAAAATTACACAACCTTATTTTGGACGCAAACGTCACGACTTCTTGTTTAACCACATAAATTGCCTTACTAATCATTGACGATTAACTCCACTAACATTAGACTTGATTGAAACCGCACAAGATGACTTTAATTCCGTCCGTGGCGTTCCAATTCCCAGTTACGTGCGCTGTTATGTTACATAACTATCTTCTATTATTCATATTGCATAAGTTTTAAAACAATAAGCGAATCTAAGGCACAGAAATGAGCTCTACATTTTCACTGCTGCCGATTGTAATTTATATTTCTTCAATTATTTTATCAATTCGTTATTATTGCAAACGTTAGTTTTTAATTACAAAGCTTTTATTACATCAAGTTTTAATTAAAGTTGAAGTTCGCTTAATCACTTATGTAACTCATATTTCCTAACTAGATGTTGCTCGCGACTTCGCTCACGTGAACTTGTAAAACCAAAAAACATACACCCTATGTTACTTACAGATATCGTAGCTTTTTAATGGTGAAAGAACTTTTAAAAGTTGGCCCAGTAGTTTTTGAGTTATTTCAATATATACAAAAATACAAATCTTTCTTCTTTATACTCGTAATATAAGTGTAGATTGAGCTGTTATCGTTCTGATATATAGATCGCTACATACTTACTTTAGTTGTATTTTCTTAGTCCCAAAGCAATTCATTTTAAACTATCTTGTAAAATTTTATAAAAATCAAGAGTATTGGTGATTTTTGTACTTTTAGTAAATTACTTCTGCGCGCTTTCTATTCTTTTATAAGTGATCCTTCATTTTACTGATGAATAGCGTAGACTAGCGTTTTTGTTCGTTCAGTTTGATTACGCAAAATTTTCGTTTTAATATTCTGTCGAAAGAAAGTGTTTGAACATTTTTTGCAATAAGTAAGTTTCTTGTTTTTGTTCATAAGAATTTTTAGTTTACAGTATCAAAGACTTATCAGTTTAAAATAAACGATAGACTTTGTTTAAAGTGTATATTTATAAACATTGAAATGTAAATTTTGTAAAAGTTTACTTACATTATTTTTTACATAGAATAAATATGTTTTCTTCCACCGGAAATGATATTCTTAATTTTGTTTTTTAAATTTCTGTTTGGTTTCAAAAACTGTCAGTTCTTTATCCCCGGATCTGATAAAGATTATCTTTATTTATTTTTTGATAAGTTGGTTCCTGTTCGTTGACTTTATTCGATTGGTAGCAAAGGGACGGTTAAATACATCTTATACACACATACGAGTCGTTGTACACTGCCGTAACGCTTATACAAAAGCATATCGTTATCCTCACATTATCTTTGCAAGAGATGGAACAAAATGTTTTTATAATACTGTGGAAATCCACATTTATTTTAACTGGATTGCAAGTATGTGCTTTTAAACAAAGGCAATTCATACAGTGGGCGAATAAAAATATTTGTAGTTAACGCATAGCTTTGATTAAGATATTGTTTGAAAAATATTAATAGCCCTATAAAACTTAGACAGGGTTTCAAATACAATATATAGCTTAAATACGTAAACATAGATTTTTTTTAACTTTTTAGGGTTAATGCAGTAAGTGATCTCATTGCCAAAGAATTGATTACTAAAGGTTTCAAAACATGCAACTTAATTCAAACACTATCTTTTAAGCCCCTCGTAGAGCGTAACTTGTAACTTAAAACTTTGTTAATATAAAGACAGCACTTAATGCAAGCTTCTTGGATATTAGCACTTCAATTAGTAGCATTAAGTTCAAAGCGAAGTGTTAAGTTTTTAAGCGAGAGTAAGTCAGTTTTACTATCTTATAATATTTGCACGAAACTTTTATAGAAATTTTCAATCTTTCACAAATGTCAAAAAGTGGTTATAATTAACACATATCCTCGAAAAATCACATAGATTAAGAGTTTTGAGGTTAAAAGTCTGCTAGTTAAATTCACTTTCATTGCTTGTCGTGTTTTGGTTTAAATGTCCTGTAAATGTTAAGCGAAACTGCTTTATTCGCGTTTTGAACACATTTTCATATGGATCTATGTAAGGATTTCTTAATCCGTATAACATTATTATTGAAGTTAAAAGACATAACATCTGATTATCTGATTATTATAATAATATTAAATGGGAAAGTTTAAATGGATGGATGTTTGTTAGAGTTTGTAGCTAAAACGGCTGAACGGATTTCGATGAAATTTGGTATAGATGTAGAGGATAGTCTCGAAAAACACATAGGCTTATCACTTTGTTTTTTCAATTACATGCGGACGGAGTCGCAGGCGAAAACTAGTAAGTAATAAATATGGCGCGGTTCTAAAGAAGATTAATAATAGGCATATGGTCAGAGCTATAAAATTTCAGTAATTGGCTGCTACAAAAAAGTATATGACCTGTTTGTATTGTATGAAGACATTGTTCTAATATCAAATATCAATTTCCGTTGACATACATTTATGTTAAATCATCCTTTTACCCTTTACCATGCGACCTGATTAAACTCCTACAAGACAGAAAGACAATAATGCTTTTTAACTGTCCTGTATACAAATCATGCAATGTTACGTTATAAATAGAACTGATATTAGGAATGAAGCGTTTGAGTTAATTGTCCTGTTTCAATTTATTGTCTACGTTTGGGTTAGCTAATTGATGTAAATTGGTCTACAAAGCTTAAATTGACAAGAGTCCTTGCGGTTATCTCATTCAATACTTGCGTTGTATTGTCAACTTACATTTATTAAAACACGAGCTGTTGCCCGCGACTTCGTCGGCGTGGTATTAGAAAACATTCGAACTATATAAATTACAAAAAGCTACGTATCCCTCGGGAACCGGACATTTCTCTGGGATGAAGCTTATCTCATGTGTACTCCAGACTTTGTTTTATATCTGTACCAAATTTCAATAAGATATGTTGAACCGTTGCAGAATGATTGAGTGAACATTAAAAAACTAAATTAATAAATCCCACGGGAACCGTAACTATTCCCGGGATAAAAAATAGCCTATGTGTTCTTCCAGACTATGTTCTAAACCTGTGCCAAAATTCATGGAGATCCGTTTAGCCGTTTAGGCTACAAACGCTAACAAACATCCATCCATACATCCATCCATCTAAACTTTCGCATTTATAATATTAGTAAGATAACATCAAAAAGAGTAGAGAAAGAGCCTTTTGAGAGAGGATATTCTGAAATTACCTTTTACAAAATTATGTGTAACCGTCTACTCGTACATTACAGGAGCTTTGACCTGCGACTTCTGCCCAACCGAAGGCTGGTGTCACCGCAGTTCGCAGTGTGGTCGGAGAACGGCGAAGAGGCGCCACTATCATCTATCGACACCTCCTGTCATTACCTGCACGCTGGACCCAACACTGTCGCCGCGTTTTCCGCTTGTAAAGATCATGCGCTTGTTAGTATACGTTTCTACATATTCATTAATTCAAATAGAAGAGTTTAAGTGTATATGCATGTAAAAGAAACAAGAGTGTGCCAGGAACGTACTAAATCTAAATAGAAGTCCGTAATTGCATGAACTAAGATGAAGGCTAGTTTGTTAGTATTGATTTTGCGGTTTCACCTATATAAGCAAATCGGTGTTAAAACATATTTAAGACGCGTAAATAATAACTAGGTAAAAAAATCATTAATTGCAGCATGGATTAATAGTGACCGATAATTCGACATACGAAGTGCGTCCATTGCCGCACGGCGCGGGTCGTGCACAAGATGGCGGCGGGCGGCGTGCCCACGTGATCCGTCGTGCGCCCCCGCCCCCCGCCTCAGCCGGGGACGCGCAGTACATTCGCCCGCGAGTGCGCCGTCCGCGCCAGCCACGAGTGAGCGCCAACTTGCCCTCCAAGTACACGATAGAAATAGCGCTGTTCCTTGACGAAGCTGGCTACAAGCTTTTCTATCCCTTTCTTAACCACAATGAAGCTGATCTTCGTGATATGCTACTCGCATACGTCAATGGAGTAAGTTCTAGTAATTGAAATTAATCTGTAATATCACCCAAACAAATTTTACATAGAATAAAATTGAACATATTGGTTTTAATAAATTTCAGGTTCAAGCTTTATACCATCACGCTTCATTGGGGACCAGGATCCAGCTGTCGTTGGTGCGGCTGACACTGCTGCGCTCGCAACCGAGTGAGTTGCCGCCGTACGCCGAGAGGGGGCGTCTGCTAGATTCGTTCTGCGCCTACCAAAAGTCCCTTAATGTCGATGACGATGACGATCCCCAGCATTGGGATATGGCACTTTTGCTATCCGGGTAATTATGTTTACAAAACTTTTGGAAACAAGATTTGTGGGGACAAGAAAATGATCAGATTGAATTGTACAAAATTATAACTATCTTTTGCGATGAGAAGTAATCTATAATGAACATGTAACTGCCTAAAAAAATCAAGTCATAACACGAACAATTTTATAATTTTCAGGTTAGACTTCTATTCGGAGGAAGGTGGTCGTCGTAATGGAGTGACGATGGGCCTGGCGCCGGTGGGTGGGGTGTGTCTGCCGGCGCACGCGTGCGTCGTCTCCGAGTTCGGGGCCAGCGACGTGCTCGGCCGCCCCTACCCCTCCGCCGGATTTACATCCGTCTACATACTGGCCCATGAGATAGGACACAAGTCGGTATATTCGTATCTATACTTATTTTCTATCTATATACATATAATAAAATTGCAGTGTCTGTTTGTAATAGCAAAAGAAAATTTCAGATTTCGGGAAGATGATTTGTGTCAGTCTGTCTGTTCGCAAACCACGTTTGTTTCGGGTAATTTTCGAAACGGCTGGCCTAATTTCGACCGCACTTTGACTGAAGGGGAGCTGACATAGACGGCCATATTATAGGCTACTTTATTTTTTAATACTGCGCTGTCAAAATTTCGCAACGGGTGGTTCAAATTTGCGCTAACGTTTGCAGGCGACAGCACGTTTGATATATTTTTCCTGACTTTTTTTTCATAGCAAATTGGTAGGTTAGGGTATTGACTATGAGAAACCCATTAAACGAAAATGTTAAAGTTGCAGTAAAACTTTGTGAATATTGGTTTATTTTATTTATTATTCATATAGATTAGTATGTATGTTGATGTTACAGCCTGGGTATGCACCACGACGGCACGGGTAACGCATGCGCGCGCGACGGCTACATAATGTCGCCTTCTCGGGGTACACACGGCGAGGCCTCCTGGTCCCGCTGCAGTGCTAAGGTCGCCGCGGATCTACAGTAAGATATACAAGTGTAGTTCTCCCAAAGCCCATAGCCACCACTTTAAGTATATACAGTGGTAGTGCCCGCTTTAACATCTTAGCACGAATTGGCCGGCACGTCCGGTGTAATACCACGACCACACAGAAGACAGGCGTGAAATGGAAGCAATTCCGTGTTTCGTCTGATGAGTCATGAGTCATTTCGTCTGATGTCAGAGGCCTAATTTTAGTCCTTTTCTCTTTACCGCCCTTTTCTTATAAGGAGAGGATGGGAAGAGGAAGTGGATTTGACGGTGGAGGAGATGCATAGGAAGGGGAAATATCCTCTTTATGTACGTCTCCTCCTCCGTCGGATAAGGGTAGGCAACGCATCTGCAATTGCGGATGTCTATGGGCAGCGGTCGCTTCGCCATTTTGGCGGATTCAGGTGGCCGCTTTCTCGTTTGCCCCCTTATGTTATAAAAAAAAAAACATAAGTAGGACTATGATTGGAGGGAAGAACAATAACTTTGTAGCTTCTTAAAAACATTTTGGCACGCCATAGAAGAGAAATTACTAGTCCCGGGACTGGGGATATCACAAATAATACGAGCAAGGAATACCTCAAACCGAGTTATTTAAGTTGAGGCATTTATTTTTATGACATAAATGTTACCCTGAAAGAAGCAATAAGAACTCGTAAACTCCATATGCCATACAAAACTATTTCACCATTTAGCTGCTAAAAAATGTACATAATTTCAGATGGGCAACTTGTCTACTAGATGGTTCTGACGACGACGATGAAGATATCCCTGAACAGCTTCACCACGAGCGCTTCGGCGGAGCTCCGGGCATTGTATGGGATGCTAAAAAGCAGTGCGAAGTAAGACTGCTATTATTTATAACTAGCTGTTCCCGCGCGGCTTTATGTGCATGTAATTATAAAAACTTTATTTTATTGTTTACATTGGTCAAATTTTCAATTGCAAAGGTCAAAATTACCGTTACCATACTAAACTTGTTTCCTTAACGTTGGCAGCTTGTAGTTTATGGTCCCTTTCCCATATTTGGGGTTTTTACAAAATTTATTTACTCTCTTAGTTTAATATCCTGAAATTATATAGCCTAAAGCGTGTCGTCAATGTAGGGCTTTTTATTAAGGACAGATTTATTCAAAAATATGCAGTGATTGCTGACAACCTACGCCACGAAGTAGTGTGTGTTTACGCTTTATTATATTAGTATATACTAGTATAGATAAATCTTTACACGCCATATCAATGGTTTAGAAATCTGTATTTAATCCATGTTAATTTACTGATGTTTGTAAATTGCAGGTGTTGTTGCGCGACGTGGACGCGGCGCCGGCGGAGGGCGGCGGCGCAGCGCAGTGCGCGCAGCTGACG